TGGTGTGGTGGGGGGAGATATTGGGTGGGGGGAAGGGGGTGTGGTGGGGGGGGAGAGATTGGGTGGGGGGTGGGTGTGTGGTAGGGGGGGGAGAGATTGGGTGGTGGGAGCTATGGGGGGGGGGGGGGCTGTGGTGGGGATTGTGGGGGGGGAGCGGTGTTCCTCGCCAGCTGGCAAGGGGAGGGTTGTGGTAATAACAGCAGCAGCAGCGCGCGTTCTGATATTGACGCCTTCCGAGAGCCAAGAACAGCGAGAAGAGCAAACAGCAGCAGCAGCAACAACAACAACAATGACGCGAGACGCAGAGTGAGAGAGAGATAGTACGTGCCGTGTAAAGTGCGTGGTGAGCGTGTGGTGAGCGTGTGGTGAGCGTGTGGTGAGCGTGTGGTGAGCGTGTGGTGAGCGTGTGGTGAGCGTGTGGTGAGCGTGTGGTGAGTGTTTTTGGCGAGATGTTAACTACCTCGCCTGGTATGCAGGAGGTCGTGGGTTCAATCCCGACCCTGACGCCTGCTCTATATTTGGAGTTTGCGTGTGTCTCTTCCCGTGGTCCAGCGGTTTTTTTCCTCCGCATTTAGAATCAACACGCGTCGAAAAAGAAGCGACATATCTCTGTGGGCCTTGCCTGGTAAGATAACAAGCAAAAAATATCTTAATATTTTTTGCTTGTTATCTTAAAAACATATTTTAATATTTTTGGGGGGGGAGAACGGGAAGGGTGATGGAGGAGCAGCCCCCTCAACTCAAACGACAAACGAGTCGGCAAGGAGGCGCGCGGACCACGTGGGGTTGTTGGCTGCCTCAACGTTCGGAGGAAGTAGTTGTCAACTCCTCATGCCGCTGTCTGCCTGGCAGCGTTTGGCTGCGTGCTGTGCGAAAGAAGTTCAAGGTACAGTCTGCCCTCCTGTAACGTGACAGCAGTTGCTTTTCCCGAAATGGAAAAATCGCGTTCTAATAAAGTAAAGGCACAGTCTGCGGTAACACGTGCGTGACACATGGGTAGCATCTAGAAGCATCCAGCAGTATCCCGATGCCGTGTGCGATGCTACGCCGAGGCAGCCGTGCAACCGCTTATTCCTAACTCGCGCGACGCAGTTCCGTTCACTCGATCGCGTTGCATCCAATTCGCATCCGCGTTCAATACATATATATATTTATTTTTAAATGTGTTCCCCAACACAGTCATCGCGCTGTATCCAATTCGCGTGATGGAAAGTTCACGCGTTACAGGAGCACAAGGTGTACATACAGATGTAGTGTGGTGGACAGCCGGCTGGTGGCCAGCAGCGGCCAGCTGCGGTGGACAGCCGGCGGCACGCGGCGGCTGAGCGCGTGCACGTGGGGAGTGTGGGCAGGGCGGAGGAACCGGGGCGAGGGTCGCGGAGGAACCCGTCCGGAGGAGGAGGCCCCTGGAACCTGCTGGCGGGTTCGAGAAGGGACGCGGCGGAGCCAGCGCCGCGCTGGGAGTATGAAAATGAGCCGAGAGCGGGGGAGGGGGGGGCTTGAGGCTGCCGGTTTCTGGGAGTGGACTCGTCTCGTCGTCGCTGCTGTCTCCGCTAGACACTGCGCTGCAGGATTGTTGTTGTTGGTGGCTGTCTCAGTCAGCGCCGTCAGTGTTGGACGGCTCGTGTCGTGTACAGGCAAAGCGACCGTGGATAGAGTGCGGACGAGACCGTGGATGTTCTAAATAAAAGAAGGGTGCCCTCCTACAAACCTCGTCTCCGAATCACTGACACTGCACATAGATACAGGCACGAAGGGCAATCTCAAGCGCTGAGCAATGCAATCCCAGGTCACGCACGTGGTGATCGCGTGAAGCAATCACCGCTCCCTACTGGCAGACGTGCGTCCTATTGCAGACCCATTCAGAACGGGTCGCGACCATTGAAGAGAGTACGCGTATGGGTTGCATGTGAGTGCGTCTGTTTGTGTGTGTGTGTCTTTATGATGGGTCAACTCAGCCTTGAATGCGTACTTGGCGCGGTGTGTAAACAGCAGCAGCGGAGAGACAAAGGTGGCCGGGCAGTGGTGCCACTCCGGCCTGCACGGGTGCTCGCTCACAGCACTTGCCCCCTACAGTCCGTACTCATCAGCGAGTCGTGAGGCTCCACGGAAGGGGTTCTGTGCCCGTGTGTGTTTGATAGCAGGGCAGCAGTGGAGCAGCGGTTAAAGCTCTGCGCTCACGAGCCGGCGACCCGGGTTCGATTCCCGCTCACCGCCACCAACAACCAGTGGCGATTTTTATCCGAACGGATCCTTGGTGCTTCCCATAGGTCGACTCAGCCTCGAGTGAACAGCTGTCGCGATGTGCAAAACATCGCCAACGAGGGAGACAAAGGCGGCCGGGCGTGGTGCCGGCCACCCACCCCTTTTTGTGTACCTCGCCGGGCACCTTCATAGGTGGTGCTCGCTAACAGCACTTGCCCCAACAGTCTGTTGGGGCAAGTGTACCGGGAGGGGGCGAGCGGGCGGGGGGGATATTTGTCTTCGTTATATAAAAAACAAAACTTGGCATCTCCTATCCCCCCCCCCCCCCCCCGCATGCACTCGACACGACGCGCTAATTGACTTGGCGTGCTGATGGGCGCCCGGGAATAAGTCAATCGGCGGAGGCTGGAGAAGAAGGAGGAGGAGGAGGAAGAGGAGAAGGAGGAGGAGGAGAAGAAGAAGAAGAAGGAGATGAAGAAGGAGGAGGAGGAAGAAAAAACAACGACAGCGACTCCGGGGCGAGAAGTCGCATCCAGCATACTGAGTGGAGCGATGGGGGAAGTCACGGAGGCGGCGGCCTCCTCATCTCCCTCCTCCCCTCCTCCCACGTCCTCATCTCCCTCCCCTCCTCATCATCTCCCTCCTCCCCTCCTCCTCATCTCCCTCCTCCTCATCTCCCTCCTCCCCTCCTCCCCATCTCCCTCCCCGCCCGCCCTCCTCCCTCCTCATCTCCCTCCCCGCCCTCCTCCCTCCTCCTCGCCCTGTTCCAAAGTCGCTCCACTGACTGAAAGCTTTCGTGACTGCACGAATTCCTATTCTTTGGGTCTCTCGGTAAAGTCGCGTAGATAGTAGGATCAAAGAAAACAACAAGAAAAAACTACGACGTCTCGATCGCAACACAAGCGTTCGTCGTCAGGAAGAAACAAAAAACCGAAATCAATCTACGCGACTTTACCGAAAGACCCAAAGGAAATAATCGCTCCATTGCTGGACGGAGGCAGGCTCCACACCCGCACCAACCCACCCCACTAACCCCACACGTGGGGGGGTTCGTTTGAACAAACAGCGGCGGCGGCGCGGCTATTGCCATCAAACAAAAACGATTCGGTTTGGTTTTTTGACCGGGTAAGGTCCACTGAAGCGACCTGGCCACGGGCTGATAGCTCGACAAAGCGGTTTATCACGTGGACTTTTTTAATTCGCCCAATACCCTCAACGCATGTTTACTCAAATGTGGAGATAAATCCACACGGCGTCAGGGTGCGGGATCGAACCCACAACCCCCTGTATACCAGGCGAGGTAGTTAACATCTCGCCACCGTGAATGCTGCCACAATGCGACCCAAATAATCGACCGTACACCCATAAATACCCACAGAGATGCATAGAGACCCGTAGGGAAATATGGAGACCCATAGAGAAATGTAGAGATACACGAAAACCTGTTTAACACGTAGGAGGATTTCGCGACCAATATCATCCCTAATAGAGGTTTATTGGGTTAGATCGCGTAAAGATATAAATGTGTCGTTTAAACCCGCCACCACCCGACACAGCCAACTAGTAAGGGTTGTCACGTAAACAGAACATGGAGACCCATATAGCTTGGACAGACTGTTGGGGCAAGTGCTTCTAGCGAGCACCTATGAAGGCCGGAACAGTACACGACGGGGGTGGATGGCCAGCCTTTGTCTCCCCAGTAGCGATAGATTGCTCATTTCCGTTGAGTTATTGACGTTCTCCACAATGCCCCTTCGTTCGTGGAGTCAGAATTCCCCAACGCCCCCCCCCCATCACTCGAAGCCGCGGCTCGGTGCATTCTGACCGCCCCCTACTGACAGACCTCGCAAATATTACGGCGATCAATCTCCCACTCTACGGTTCCCTCCCCTCTCCGAATCCTCCACTCCACGAATCATCCCATATACGAATCCTCCTCCCATCGCCTGGCAACTCTCCCCTCGGGTGACGAGAGTGGTGACGAGAGTGGCAAACCAACAACAACAACAACAACGAAAGGACAGAATCGGCAGGAGGAGCGACGCACGTCGTGGGAGACGGAGCGGTGAAATCACCCTCCCGCTCAAGTTTTCATATTCCGCTGGAAAAAAAAAATCTCGTTCTGCCGTTCACGAGATATGCTGCTGCTGATGATGATGCACTACTCATTGTGAAGATTACAAAGCGCGGAATCTGTGTTCTATGGGAGACACAGGAGAGCTTTTTTTGTGCTCCGCGATTGTGGAATCCCCTTCCATCGGTACATTCGGGAATCTCAGTCGGGTTAAATTTTTTAGTTGTTTTTTTTTTTTAAATCGCGTCTTAATGTGTGGCCGATGTTAACGGAGAGCAACAGCTGTGACTTTTTCATTGAGGTGGTTGAGCCACATGTATGTTGAACTTCCTTTGCACCGTACGTAGCCAAACGCGCTCATCGGAGGTGCGGGCGGGCGGGCGGGAGGGGACGTACAATAAACAAAACACACACACACATAAAATAAGTCCTAAACAAAATGAGATTTCAATCTGAATGTTAACGTCTTAAAACCCACCTGGTTTTACAACAGGCATCCTCCGTAACTTCAGCAGCTTCTTGCTGACTTTGAACACGTCGGTTTTCAAGCCCGATGTTCACGCCATGACGATGACGATGATGATCATGCAAAAATAGTATATTCGGGAAAAACAAGTTTTGCTGGCTGGCTGGCTGGTTGACCATCACGTCGCGAGAGAGGGAGCCACGGTCACATCCGATGGTTAAACAACAAGGAAAATAACTCAGTCGAGACCTGTGCTCTTGCAAGGCTGTGGATTTATTTGCCACTAAGAAACACAGCCAGGCCCACCCATATACGATGTGTATCTTTCTCCCTGCCCGTTATACGTTTTGAATCTATTGTAATGTCACTCGTTTAGCAGCCTACGGCGTTAAAGCTGTCACCTCTCGGTAGACTTTGGGTCGCGCGTAACCCCACCACACCGATAAATAACACCGCGTGCGGCGTCGGTGCGCTCTGAGCTCGGTCGAGCTTTAGCGTCGTCCGGATGGACGAAGACGGGCCCGATCGAGGTTGAGCCGAATGACGACGACGACGACGATCATCATCATGATGATAACAACGAGGTTCGCGACACTGGCAGTTGGCAGCGGGCGCACAAGCAACGAAATCTCGTTCGTCGATAACCACTTGCACCGGGCCGGTCGTTCGTTGCAGGGGGAATGCTTTCTTTTCGAGGTAAATTTCATCTCTCTTGCCCCTTTTCTCTCTCTCTCTCTGCTAGGACGAAGGGCAATTGCCCGAAACGTGCCCTCCTAGGATGTTTACATGCCCTCCTAGAGCGCGGTGAGCTAAGAGGAGCAGAAACCATCGCGCGAACTCCGCTCATCCTCGCAGACGGCGGCTTCTGGCTGGGCCATCGAACGCAGACGCGCTCCTGCGGCCGTCTGGAACGCTCTTCCTTCCGACATTTTGGGAGCCGCTGGAGCAATGCGCTTTTAAATCATCTCGATTGAAAACTCATTTCTTTAGAACTGCTTTTTTTGTGTTTAGCACCTCCCGGTTAGCACGGTTGGCTACGCACGGTGCTAAAAAAAAAAGTTCAACATACATACGTGGGGTAAAAGGCCTTTATTATCCCTGAGCTCACACCGTGGCTTGTCTGCTGAGCTGCAGTGAACCTGCAGTCGACAGCTCAAGCTGATCATGGTGGCTGATGTGCATCACTTCTGCTAGCACGAGGACAACAGGGCCTTTTAACTCACCTAGTAAGCCTCCTCTTACCACACTCTACGCCGTATCCATTTCCGTCTTTAGGGCACGTGTTATCGCGAACGCCTAGGGTCAAGGTTAACCTGCGGTTTAAGTTTTTTTTTTATAAGTTAATGAAACTTCGCGAAGCCAGGCTAAGTTGGCGGTAACTTTACTCTCGCTACTACCCGTCGCGGTCAGACGGAAGGCCGCTTTCACACCCTCGCCACTTATAGTTATATATATTATATTTCCTGTGCGTGAACACGACTCCCACTTCCAAACGCTTCGCGGTCGGACCCCAAGCGCGAATCTGGCGACCGCACGCACGCACGCGCACGCGCGCGCGTGCGTGCGCGTGCGTGTACGTGTGTGACCAACGAACCTGTGCAGCTCGAACCGCCGGCAAGGTGGCTAGGAGAGATGTTAACGACCTCGCCCGGTGTACAGGAGGCCGTGGGTTCGATCAAGACCCTGACGCCTGCTGCTGCTGTATATTTGGAGTTTGCGTGCCTCTCTCTCTCTCATCATCATCACGGTGGTTAGGAGATGTTAACGACCTCGCCTGGTTTACGGGAGGCCGTGGGTTCGATCAAGACCCTGACGCCTGCTGCTGTATATTTGGAGTTGGCGTGTCTCTCTCTCTCTCTCCCCGTGGCCGCGTAGGATTTATCTCCGGGCCCTCCGGTTTTTCCACTCCGCATTTAGAATCAACGTCACGGGTTGAGAGCATTTGGCTGCTATAAATGTCCACGTGACGATGAGCCACTTCGTTGAGCTCTCATTTGTGATGGCCAGGTCGCTTCTGAAAAAGAGCTACGGAGCAGCTCAAGAGGGGGGTGGGGGGGGGCCTTACCTGGTAAGATAAAATATTTTAAAAAATCGTTTTAGTTTTTTTAAAAATCTCGTGCCGCGGCAACGGCAAAACGATCGCCGCCGCAGTCCCACGCCGCCGCAGTATTCCGCCACTGTCGAAATAAACCCAGAGCTATCTGCGCAGATATATCAACTGTAGTCGTAATCACAATCATTGTTACGTATATAGTTTTTAATGCAGGAAAGCCACGCCGAGCAAACAAGGATCCTCTCTTTCAGGAGCATCCTGTTATCATTATTATTCTTTTTAAGATGTGCTCAGCCATAATGACGATGAGTGTTTGTAAAAGTGGGAAGAAACCGGAGCGCCGGTGAGAAAATCCACGCGTGCGGAGCAGGTAACACTTTCTCCCGCACACAGATGGCGTGCCAGGGCACGGCACCTCCTCGTTGCCCTACGGAATGGAGTTTCACGGCATCTGTGCGATCCACCGACCCTCTCCTCCGCTGCTGGTTTAGAGGCGAACGCGCGCCAGCCCCAGGAGATGCCTGAAGTTGCTCCGACCGCTTCACAAAACGTTCAGCGATCGATCGTCATTCCCTTTACGATGAACGAGAACTACAATGACAAGTTGTGACCGTGAGCGACCCTTGTGACGCTTGCGAGCGTTGCATAATCATCATCGGGGCGTGCGTTTAAATGTGTGGAGCGCTCCAGACTGCTTGTACGACTTGTGAGCAGCCCAGGGGCGCATGGTCAGAACAGAAGCTGACGGTCCGAGGAGGAGGAGCTGATTGGCCGTGTCGTTGTTGTGTGGGTGGGCGTGTTAAAATCAAGCCAATCGGAGGCGCCGTACCTTCCCGGGCCATCTTGACTTTTTTTAAGTTTCCTTCACGGAAACTTGTTGAAGTGTCCGTGAAGTTTCCTATTTTGTGGGACTGACCGACCTAGCTTTTTCCGCGAGACGCGACCAGAAATTAGTGTGGGGGGAGGGGGGGGCGTGGTGGGGGCGGTGGGAACTCTGGCAGCTAGCAATGCACGAACTTGGCGCTGGAAGGCGACTCTACGGAACTACTTCAGAGATCTCTTCGCTAGCTTTCGTTACCCACGCCCGAAGGCGGCGCACTCAAGCATCTGCCCAATGCGAAGCGATGTTAAAAAAATAAATCTCTCGAGCCGATCTATGGGAGCTGCTCGATTCTCTCAACCTGGAACACGTCTGAGATCGATAACCCAAAGCTAGCACGACCCAAACCTAACGCAAAAGGCTTTGCTCTGCCGTCGCCGGCCTGGCTGAGGAGCGTCAGACCAAACGAGGGCGGTTTAACTTGCAGACAGCCGAAAAAAAAAACACCGACTCACAAACCGGAATCTCACCGGGGCCGTCTGAGCGCGTCGTCTGACACGGCCGGTACAAAGCCCGCTGATCCGACTCACCCAAACTAGCCCCGATGCACACGCGTGGAACGTTTCTGCGGCCTCGAGAGTCACAATTCACATCCGGGCTCTCATTCGCCGTCGAACCCCCCCCCCCCCCCCCAATTTTAAGCGACTACGTGAACTGTGACCCGAGCCGCGACTCTCTCTTAACACGCCAACCGGGCGCCAGCTCTATCTGCGCCCGCCCGCCACCGGCTGCGAAGAGCGACTGAACGACTGAAAGGAAGAGGAGGAGGTGACGGCGCTCCGGACAGTGACGCCGCCGGTGACCAGGCCGGCCCTGGCTCCCTGCCCGGCCGCCTCCAGCAAGCGCAGGCCGGTGGTCGGGTCGCGCACGGCCCGCGCCAGCGCCTCCGCGTAGGTGACGCGCGCCCGCGTCTTGGGGCAGAGGAGCACGCGCGCGTGGGCGCCGGCGTCGCGCAGCCTCCGCGCCGCCGCGTCGTCCAGCTCGCCGCTCGCCAGCGCCTCCGTCACGCTCGCCCGCCCGGTGGCCCCGGGCCGCACCAGCCCGCCCGTCAGGTACTGCACCTCGAGCAGTCGCCGCGCCGCCTCGGGGAAGAGCCAGCCGCGGCGCATCGCGAGCGCCGTCGAGAAGAGCCGCCCCGTGCCGGGCTCCTCGAAGCCGGCAAACGCCTTCTCGGCCAGCGACAGCTTCTCCGCGGTGAACTTCTCGACGAGGCCGAGCGCGGCGGCCCGCGCGACCGAGTGGCGCTCGCCCGTGGCCGGGTCCAGGACGCCGCCCGTGCAGGCCTGCGCCTCGAGCAGCGCGAGCGCCGTGGCGCCGTCGAGCAGCCGGCGCCGTGCGGCCTCGCTGACGGCGAGCACCTCGCCCGTGTTCCCGTCGAGGACGCCGGCGATGGGCGCCGTCTCCTCCGTGGGGTCGCTCCACGCCGGGTCGGCGCCGGCGGCGTCGTCGAGGGCCGGCGACGGCGGCTGGCTGGGCGATGCGGCGCCTTCGCCGGCGGCGAGCCCGCTGGCGCTGAGCCGGTCTCCCAGCTCGAAGATGGACATCTCGCCCGAGCGGTAGCGCCGGAGGACGGCGTCGTCGACGACGCCGGCGACCAGGGCGTCGTCCAGGCAGAAGCGCCGGCCCGAGCGCTTGTCCACCAGCGTGGAGGAGGTGGCGCCTCCGTCGTCGTCCGCCGTCACGTTGATCTCCTCCCACTCGCACTCCTGCTTGGAGAACTTGAGGTACATGGCCTGGTCGATGACCCCGCGCGAGTACGCCTCGTACACCGTCACCCGCTTGCCCGTGTCCGGGTCGACGACCAGCACGCGGCGCTGGCGCACGCTCGACGTCGACGACGTCTTGCGCTGGCGCGGCGCCCTCCGCTCGTGCAGCGCGAGCAGCGCGAGACCCGTGCGCGCGTCCGGCGAGCAGCGCGCCAGCAGCGCTGCGTAGGTCAGGTTCTCCTCCGTGTTGGGGTCGAAGAAGCCCTTGGTGACCTGCAGCGGGTCGAGCAGCACGGCGTTGGTCTTCTCGTCGATGAGGCCTCGCTCGTAGGCCACCTTCAGGGGCAGCCGGTGGCTCGCCTGCGGGTCGATGACGCCGCCGGTGGCGATCTGCGCCTCCAGGAGTCGCACGCCGTGGTCGCGCACCACCAGGTTCTTCTTCATCGCCTGGAAGAGCGAGATCAGCCGGCCGGCGTACGGGTCCAGGTAGCCGGTGACGGCCCGCTCGGCCGACAGCAGCTTGTCGTGGAACTCGTCGCCGACGAGGCCGGCCACGACCGCCTCGTCCACGGTGAGCTTGGCGTTGAGCACGGGGTCCACGACGAAGCCAGTGGCCGCCTGTGCCTCCAGCAGCTCGAGGGCCGTGCCGGGCCGGACGAGGCCGCGGCGCATCGCCGCGTACACGGAGAGCGTCTCGCCCGTCGACTCCAGGAAGATGCCCGCCACGCAGCCCGTGCCAGTCAGGTACGAGCTGATGGAGTTGCTCACCTGGTGGAGGGGAGCGGGGGGAGAGGGTGGGGGAAGAGGGCGGTTGGCGGGGGGGGTGAGCAACCTGCTGGGAAGGAGTTCGTGCCGGGTGATCGAGGTTTTCGACGGCGGGGCGCGGTGCCAGCGGGCCGAAGGGGAGTTGGGCGGGGGGAGGGGGGGGTTACTTGCAACGTCCCGCCAATGAGATGGAGCGGTGAGATCGGATCGTGCGCAAGAGCCAGATGAATTGTTACGTCACGTGACAAAGCCCCCCACCACGCCCCCCCCCCCCCCCCCACTGCAAACACACGCTCGCAAGCATCACGTGCTCTGCTCGGATTCATCCCGAGCCCAACGTCCTTCTAAAGGTTCCTGCCATTCCTTCCCCTTGGACGTCATAGTGACCGTATCATAGCACCTTTGCCGGCTTCGCCTTGTGGCCCAACGCTTCGACTATCGTTCACGAGCTCTCTCTCTCTCACCCTCTCTCTCTCGCTCTCTCCCTCACTCTCTCTCTCGCCCTCTCTCTCTCGCCGGCTCCAGGTAAAGATTCGCAGGTGCCATCGCTGCGCCGTACCTCCTCGACGCTGCGCGACCCGTCCATCAGCTGGCTGGCCGTCTCGCCGTCGATGATGCCGCTCTTGGCGAGTTCGTCAAGCGACAGCTCCCGTCGCAGGCCGCTGAACTTGAACTCCCTCCCCGCGTAACCATGTCGCCCGCGCCCCTCTGCCGCCTCCGCCATCAACGCCGCCAGCTCCTCCAGGGTGATCTTGCCGGCCCTGAACTCCTCCATGAGCCGCCGCTTGGTCTCCTCGTCCACCGCTTCGCTCTCAAAGACCTCCTTGAGCGACGTCGCCCTGCCGCCCACCGACAGCGGCGTGGCCTTGAGCAGGTCGGACAGCTCCGTCTCGACCTTGACGTAGCGCGTCTCGCTGGTCGTGAGCGTCGACTCGGAGACGAGCGGCGCCGCCGCGCTGCACAGTGCCTGCTCCGCGCTCATCCTCTCCACCTCCTCGATCTTGCTGATGACCATGTCGTGCGCGATCTTGCCGCCCCTCTTGCGCAACGGCAGCACGCGCAGGCCCGTGTCCGGGTCGGCGACGCAGCGCTCCACGAGCCGCCGGTACGGCAGCCTCTCCTCCGTGCCGGGGTCCGAGAAGCCGCCCGCCCCGGCATCGCCGGCGCCGTCGCCGCTCGCGCCCGACAGCAGCCCGACCGTCTCCTCGTCGACGAGGCCTCGCTCGTAGGCCGCCTCGACGGGCAGCCGGTGGCCCGCCCACGGGTCGACGACGCCGCCCGTGGCCAGCTGGGCCTCGAGCAGACGCAGGGCCTGCTCGCGTGGGATCAACCCCTGCTGCATCGCCCGGAAGAGCGACACCTTATCCTCGGTGGCCGGGTCCACGTATCCCGTGACGGCCCGTTCGGCCTCCAGCAGCTGCCGCTCGAACTCCCGGCCGACCAGGCCGCGGCTCACGGCCTCCTCCGCGGTGAAGCCGCCGCCGTCGGCCGGGTCGACGAGGAGGCCCGTCGCGGCCTGGGCCTCGAGCAGCTCCAGGGCGGCGGCGGGCTTGAGCAGGCCGCGGCGGAAGGCCTCGTACGGGGACACCTTCTGGCCCGTGGCCTCGACGAGCAGTCCGGCGACGCTGCGGCGCCCGTCCAGGTAGCACTCGAAGGCTCCGGAGACGTCCTCGACGGAGAGGGAGCCACGGGCGAGCCGCAGCGAGGTGTCGGGGTCCACGGCGCCGGCGCGCTCCAGCTGCCACAGCGTCACGGCGCCGCCGCGCAGGCCCCGGAACGAGATCTCCTCCTTGCGGCGGCGGTCGGGGTCATCCGCATCGCCGTTGGCCAGCGAGACGCTCGCAGAGTCCTGCGCGGGAACAACGTGCGTCCGTGTGGGGACGGTGGCGGTGGTGACAACGTTGACGGTTGTGGTGGCGGTGGTGGTGGTTGACGGTGGTGGTTATGATGGTTGGCGTCAGTGGTGACGGTGGCGATGATGATGATGGTGGTGGTGGTAACGGTGGTTTTTATGATGGTGGCGATGACAACAATTATGAGGATGAAGATAATTTGATGACAACACTATGATTGTGAGAATGTTGATGGTGCTTACAATGATGGTGGTGATGGTGGTGACGGTGATGATGTTGGTGGTGTTGAGGATGGTGATGGTGGTGGTGATGGCGGTGGTGATAGTGGTGGTGGTGATAGTTCACACCTTCTCGCAGGTCTCCAGGTGAAGCAGGTGGCTCTCCAGGGCCTCCAGGTTGGAACGAGCTCGGCCCATCAGCCCCGTGTATTCCGAGTTCAACTCCTGCACCTGTTGATGGCATCGTGACGAGTCGGTGTAATGCTGGTCGGTTCGTCTCGAGTTTTTTTTTTCTCTGCGCAGGGCCCAGAGGCCCCCAACATCAAGCGGCCAGCAACAAACAGAGACGACGACGACGATGATGATGATGACGATGATGATGGGAGGATGGAATTCCCAAGTGGAGCAGTGCGAGGGAAGAAGCAGAAAGATGAGTGAGGTGACCTGCAGTGTGGTGAGTAGGTGGTCGAGTGGATGGGTGAATCAGTGGGTGAGTGAGTGGATGTGAGTGTGTGAGCGAGTGTGAGTGTGTGTGTTGTGGGGAGCGGTTAGCGTACTGCACAACGAACCCGGTGCTTCCCGCTTGCAGCCAACACCGAGTGACGATTATCTGAACCGGTCCTGGGCCTCTTCCCCTAGGTCAACTCAGCCTCAAATGTGTACCTAGTGGAGGTGTGTAAACATCGCCTCAAGAGGGACAAAGCCAGCATGGTGCTGGCCACCCACTCCCTCGTGTGTCGTGGCTGCCTTCAGAGGTGTTTGCTTATAGCTCTTGCCCCAACAGTCGGTTATAGCTATACTGGGAATCTTTGTCTTTGTATTTTGTTATTGTGATCTGCAGTGTGGTGGTGGTAATGGTGGTGGTTAAACACCGTGTGGTGGACGAGACAACACGGTCAGTCTGGTACAGACCGAGTCCTCAACACGGGTGCAGGAATCAACGAGTGAAGTTCACAGGGCAGTGATGATCATGATGATGATAGTGATCATGGTGGTAGTGGATATTACGATGGTGAGGGTGGTGATAATGATGGTGATGATGATGACGGTGTTGGCGGGAGGAGTACTTCATCCAGCAGCGGACAGGAAAAGGACCCCACGTCTACCGAGGTATTCCCCACGATGCACCATGACGGCACGTGTTCAACTGGGTGCCACGGTGGCGAGATGTTAACTACCTCGCCTGGTATACAGGAGGTCACGGGATCAATCCCGAGCTTGGCGACTGTATATCTGGAGTTTGCGTGTCTCTCTCTCCCCGTGGTCACGTGGATTTTTCTCCAGGTCCTCCGGTTTTCCCCTCCACATTTAGAATCAACATCACGCGTTTGGAGTATTTGGCTGCTATAAATTCCCACGTGATGATGAGCCACTTCGTTGAGTCTATCATTTGCGGCTGGGTCTCTTCCGACAAAGGAGCTATGAAGCTCGGTGGGCCTCACCTCTCTCAAATAACAACAAAAATGTTCAACAGTTGTAGTTTAACTGTGTTCACCTCTGCCGTGAGGACGTCGACCGACGAAGCCATGTCCTGCACCTTGGCTGGAGCACCAACGCGGACCTCGACCGCAGTGCGGTAGCTCTTCACCGCGACGTCGTAGGCCTGCCGGCATGGCCACACACACGCACACACGCACACACGCACGCACGCACGCGCGCCCCTTATTACGCAACGTCATCCGCGTGCCCACCAGACAAGGCAGTCACCGCGTCTCGAGGGCCCTTTTTCCCGGACGGTGCCGCTGCACTTAGACGTTTCGCCAAATGCCTCGTCTCCGCTATCCCATCATCATCATCATCATCCTGCTACTCCCTGTCCCCGCCACTCAGCTATGATCAGACCTACCACTACCCCAACCCTGTCACTACCCCAACCCCTACCACTACCCCAACCACTACCCCAACCCTGTCACAACCCCTACCACTACCCCAACCACTACCCCAACCCTGTCACTACCCCAACCCCTACCACTACCCCAACCACTACCCCAACCCTGTCACTACCCCAACCCCTACCACTACCCAACCACTACCCCAACCACTACCATTACGCCATCCACTACCACTACCCCAACCCCTGTCACTACCCCAACACCTACCACTACCCCAACCACTCCCACTACCCCAACCCTGTCATTACCCCAACCCCTACCACTACCACTACCCCAACCACTACCACTACCCCTACCACTACCCCAACCCCTACAACTACCCCAACCCCTACCACTACCCCAACCACTACCCCAACCACTACCACTACGCCATCCACTACCACTACCCCAACCCATATCACTACTACTACCCCAACCCCTGTCACTACCCCAACACTTACTACTACCCCAACCACTACCACTACCACTACCCCAACCCATATTACTATCAATACCCCTATCGCTCTTCCTATCACTACCCTTATCACTACTGTTATCACTACCCCTATCACTACCCCAACCCTTATAACTACCCCTATCACTACCCCTACCACTGCACCTATCACTACCCCTACCCCTCTCAAAACCCCTATCACTACGGGAAACCTGAGTTATGTGCCCCTCCATGGCCATCTCTGAAGTGGCCACGCAGCCCCCTCCCCCCACCGGCACCCCCCACCGGCACCCCCACCCCCCTCCCCCCGTACCGACCATCTGCTCGGCCGGACGTTGCCTGCCTACCTTCATGTGAGCGACGCACTGCTTGGCCCGCTCCCCGCATTCGCTCAGCTTGTGCTCGTTCTCCTCCAGTTCCACCAGCAGCGTCTGTGACGACAGTCCCACGTGATGACAGCCCCACGTGACGTCGACAACGACAAACAAAACAAAAGCAATCAGAAGGGCGCGCCCCTTCCCCCCCCCCGCCCCTCCCCCCCCACCCCCCCGCCACAGAGGCGACTCGACACACGGCCGGTTGCTCTGCCAAAGATGTCGAACGCCCCCGGCGATCGTGCCGACGTTGGCCTGGGGCTCGGAGCCGTCGGCCCGGCACTCCGACGTCGCCCGGGGCGACGCGGGTTACATTTGTTTAGCGCGACGCCGGCACGCTCTTGCGGCCTGCCAAAGCTGCCCGAGAGTCGGCGGACCGGGGGGGGGGGGCCTTTGGCGCGCTCACAGCGAACACCGTTCCCCCTTCCGTCCCGCGCACCCAGGCCCGAGCGGAGCGGGCGCCTCACCTTCTGCACGTGCAGGGTGCTCACCGCCACCTCCCGCGTTGCGTCGCGACCCTCGCCGCGGAGCTCCAGCGCGTCCTGCCGGGCGCCGGCATCGGCCAGGAACGCCCGGAGCCAGTCGCGGCCGTCCCAGTAGGCGCGCAGGCCGCCCTCGAGCGCCAACGCGTCGCCCAGCCTGCGCGGGGAGCCGACCGAGGCGCCGCGGTGGCGAGATGTTAATTGCCTCGCCCGGTACGCAGGAGGTCGTGGGTTCCATCACAACGCCGTCGCCTGCTGCTGTGTATTTGCGGGTCTATCTCCTCCGTGGTCATGTGGAATTTGTCCTCCGGGTCCTCCCGGTTTTTCCTCTCCACGTTTTTTTAGAATCGACGTTCGTGCGTTCAATTGGCCGACATAAAAACGCCCACGTGATGAGCCGCTTAGTCGAGCTGTCACTTCTAGATTTGAAGCTTTCGTGACTGCAAGGATCCATACTCTTTGGTTCTATTCGGTAAAGTCACATGACTTTACCGAATAGAGCTGTCACTTCTCCGAGAGGGACGCGCAAACTCCAAACGAGCAGCAGGCGCCAGGGTTCGATCCCGAACCCTGGCGCGCCTCCCGCGGGCAACAAAAACCGGCGTGACCTTTGGCCGTCCGTGTCCGCTCACCGTGCCGCCAGCCGCTGCGTGGCGTCGGCCCAGCGTCCCAGCAGCGCGTCCACGGCGTCGCGGCAAGCGCGAGCCGCCGGCTCCCCGGCGCCGGGCCCCGCCAGCGTCCCCAGCAGCCGCTCGCTCGCCGCCTCCGACTCGGACAGCGAGGAGCGGAGCGACTGAAACGCCGCGCCGCCGCGCGCGGCGTCGCGCTGCAGGTCCTGGAAGGGGGAGGGCCGCCGAGGGCGGTGGGGGCGGGAGGGGGAGGGGGGCGCGCAGCCGGAGGAGGCCACGGAGAGAGGTGGCCCCGTTCAACACAGCAGCCAGCGCCCGTCAACTCCTCGCGAGCCAAAGCGACCTGCAGCTCGAATGAGCGCGGAATCAATGCCCGTCTCACGTTGGCAGTCCTGCGGCGCCGGTGGTGGAAATTCCGCATTGCTATGGCAGGCGAGGTTGGGGGAGGGGAGGTTGGGGGAGACGCTGTTGACTTCCTCCACAAAGTGGTAGTCGTTTTATCGCCCCCCCCCCCCCCCACAACGGATGCATGATGGGCTGAATCGACCACCGGCGAACGAGAATTCGTAACTCCCGACCTTCTCCGATTGTGGGAAATTTCGGCAAAACGGCCAAGCTGCCCGGCCGCATCACAGCGGTGCAGTCTTGGCAAAGAGAACGCCCACGGCCTCCTCCCCCTCCTCATCTCCTCCTCACCCCCTTCCTCCTACCCCTCCTCATCTGCCTTCTCCTCCTCACCCCCTTCCTCCTACCCCTCCTAATCCTCCTCCAGGAAGACGCAATTCACCTCGCTGGCAGCAATCTCCACAAACGATGACGCCGTATTGTTATGTTTCGCGTTGGAAGCGGTGGGAAAGTCTCCTCGACGTCACCGAGTAGACAGGCCGGGCCACCTAAAGTCGTCCGAAATGTCCCGAGTGCGATTCAACAACTTGTGACGTAATCACGCATTGTTACCACATCTACAAGGACCCTTTTCTTTGCCAGTATCAAGACGATTAAAAAAATTGGAATATGCTTTACCCCCTTTTCTGGCGATGAAACAGGTGTGTCGAGATATTCACAACACCAAATACATAGCTGTTGCATTGCAACAAGTCCGCATATTGTTACTACGCTTCGTAAGCCCGATGCAGGGTGCTTACTGCGAATACTCAGCTGGAATCGCTCCGACATCCGCCGCCGCAAATTTTGCCTGCGGTCAAATTCGCGACGTTCGAAGCGCCGCGCCGATATGGAACGATCGGATCCGCCGGCGTGCAGGCGCCCCGACGGACCGGTACACGTCGCAGGGCCATAAATGGAGGCCGAGGCTCAGTGGGAAGGCCTTCACCCATCAGTGGATTGACCTGACGGTGCCCACGGTGGGTCTGGCCGCGCGTTTTTGCCGCTCACCGCGAGACGCGACCGCAGCTCCTCCAGGGCCAGGGCCTCGCACGGCGCGAAGCCTCCCTCGCCCAGCCTGCCCTCGAGGCTCGAGGTGGCCTCCTCAGCGTTCTGAATGTTCTTCAGCAACACCTCCAGGGACCGCAGCCTGCGTGACAGCGCCGTTGTTATTAAGCGCGCACGGCGGGTGGCGGCAAGGGGGCGGGTCACAGAAAATGTGGAGAATTTTGTGCGCCGGGACACCCGTTGCCGTGTGGATGCCGTCCGTTCTACTGTGGAGCAAAGTCGGGAAGATTTCTCAGTCGGCAAAAGCAGGTCTATTATCAATACCGTGCAGTGCACAGCGGTAAAGTACAACACACCAACAATACCGGTACCACATCTCGGTGCAAATTAATCCCTCCTACCACCCAAACAGAGGTCACTCCATTTTCCCAGACTGTAGCAAAGAATAGGGCTGCCACCTGTCCAGGTTGGACCCAGTACAGTCCAGGTGGCAGGCATTGATCTGTACCCTGGTCTGGCACCAGGTATTGTTGCTGTGTTTGACTTTGCCGCAGTCTACTGGCATAGTTTTGGTGGTCACTTGTTTGGTGGGGCGGTGCTGACGCCGCCTCGTCACAAGAGGGGGCACCAGGATGGCACCTTGCCCCATGGCGTCAGAATGTCCAGCGACGGTTCCGTTTGATGGTGGTGGCGGTCCGTGTGGTTTGGGGAGCGGAGGAGCAGTGGTTAGCGCATTGCGGTACTATGAACCCTGCGACCCGAGTTCGATTCCCCACTCACGGCCCAACACCAGTGACGATTGTCTGAACTGTTCCTGGGCAGACTCAGCCTCAAACGAGTACCTGGTGCGGTGTGTAAACATCGCCACTGGGGAGACAAATGCTGCCGGGCGTGGTTCCGGCCACCCAAGCTGCGGCTCTTTAAGGGCTGCGATTTTTGAGGTTTTTTTTACAGAATTAAAAAAAAAAATTCCTCTGCAATGGGTTGCCAACTTCCTGATCAAGAGAGCCCAGTTTACCATGGGCAGGGGTCGGTAACCCGCAGCTCAGAGCCGCATGCGACTGTTTAAGGACTGCTTCGTGACGTTGTTTACGAAGAACGACCATCTCGTATTCACGTGCATTGCGGCTCTTTAAATATTGATGGATTTTTTTTCTTAATTACCAAATAAAAAATAAGAAAAACGGCTCTTCTCGTTATTTTGGGCTGCCGACCGCCCTGGGTTTCCACGACGGTTCACGAGGCACTCCAGGTAATGACCGCGAACGCGAACCCGGGGGCTTTCTGGTGCCGGTGGTGCAGCGGCGTGGAGGCACCTGCTGCCGTAGAGCGACAAGGCGTGCAGCAGCAGCTGGTGCTCCCGCTGCACGCGGCCGAGCTCCGCGCCGAGCGCGGCGTCCGCCCGGCGCCCCGGCGACGCGGCAGGAGAAGCCGCCGACGCCGCCGTCGCCGCCGCCTCGATGGCCACGGCCACGCGAGGCAGCTCCTCCCCGACGCTCGCCAGCTCCTCCTCTGTCACCTAGGCTCACGCGCACAGCAGGGCCGGGGGAGGGGGGGGGTTCACAATGGCGGAGGAGCTGGTGGCGGTTGTGGTTGGTTGCGCACGTGCGTGTGTGGGGAGCGGTCCTGGGCCTCGCCTAGGTTGACTCACGTCCATGTGTCTCCGCATCCGCGTGCGTCCATGCGTCCCCGTGTCTGTGTGTCCACGTGTTCACGCGTCTCCACGTGTCCACGCGTCTCCACGTGTTCACGTGTTCATGCGTCTGCGTTTGGGTCCGTCTGTCCGCGTGTCCGCATGTCCGTGCGTCGTGTCCGTGTGTCGTGTCCATGCGTCTCTTGTGTCCGCGCGTCCGCGCGTCCTGCGGGAGCGGCACCTTGTGCTCCGCGAGCCGCGCCCGGAGGTGGTCGGGGAGTCGGGGCGCCCCGTCGACCGCCGCCTCCACCCCTCGCTCCATCGTCCCGCGGCATCGCTCCAGCCGCGCCGCGATCTCGCGCAGCAGCGAGGCGACCCGCTCGCTCTCCCGGGCCGCTGCGGAGGCAGCGGCGGCCGCGGCGGCGGCCGCAGAAGCGGCTGCAGGCGAGCACCGTGCGCGTGAGAGTGTGCACGAGTGGAGCGCGAGTAAACTAAAACTAAACTAAAGTGTTTTCATTTTTTTTTCTTCCCTTTCCCGGGTCTGGCCCGCTGAGCTGTATCGCTCTTTTTTCCTAAGCGACCTGACCACGAATGATAGCGCAACCAAGTGGCTTAACGCGTGGACATTTTACAGCAGCCAAATGCTCTCGAACGCACGTTGATTCTAAAAGTGGGGAAAAAGTGGAGGACCTGGAGAAAAATCCACGGAAAACCAGGCGAGGGAGTAAACATCTCGCCATCGTGGTGATGGGGAGCGGTGGCGCAGCAGTTAGCGCTCTTTGCTATGAACACGGCGATTCACGTGCGATTCCCTCTCACAGTGTACCGGTGCAGGACCTCCCATAGGTCGATTCAAATGAGCACCTGGTGTAGCGGTGTGTAAACATCGGCACTGGGGAGACAAAGGCGGTCAGGCGTGGTGCTGGCCACCCACCCCCTCGTGTGCCGTGCCAGCCGTCATAGGTGCTCGCTAACAGCACTTGCCCCAACAGCCTGTTAAGGCTGTACAGGAGATCTTTGTCTATACACGTGTGTGTGTGTGTGCCTGCGTGTGCGTGCACACACGTTCATGCGCGTGGACGTGTACACGTGTGTGAGTGTGTTCCAGTGCGCCCATGTACACGGGTAGCGGTTAGTGGAGCGGGTTAGCGCTACGCTGCGATACGAACACAGCGACCCGGGTTCGATTCCCGCTCACGGCCAACACCAGCGACGAATTATCTGAACCGGTCCTGGGCCTCCCCTAGGTCGACTCAGCCTCAAATGAGTACCTGGTGGCGGTGTGTAAAACATCACCACCGGGGCGCCCTCGTGTGCCATTGCCCCGACAGTCTGTTCAAGGCTACACGGGGGACCTCTGTCTCACGTGCTCCTGCCTCACCGGCGCGCCGCCGCTCCTGTATAGCAGCACGGTACCGCGCCGCTGCCCCCTCGGCCTCGCCTGCGGCGGCGTCGCGCCAGCCCAGGGCGCTGCCCTGGCTCTGCGCGGCGTCGAAGCTCGCCAGCAGCTGCCCCAGCGTCTCCACCACCGAGCTCAGCTCCTCCTCCTGCAGCGCCAGCAGCTGCACGGGCCGGGGGAGACGGACAACGCTCGTCCACTGACAGCCAGACACTGCTCGTCGTCCCCGTCTCACCCGCCACACCGTGTCCAATCACCACCACACCTTGTCCAATCACCACCACCACACCGTGTCCAACCACTATCACCACCACCACACCGTGTCCAATCACTATCATCACCACACCGTGTCCAACCACTATCACCACCACCACACCGTGTCCAATCACTATCATCACCACACCGTGTCCAATCACTATCACCACCACCACACCGTGTCCAATCACTATCATCACCACACCATGTCCAATCACTATCATCACCACACCGTGTCCAACCACTATCATCACCACACCGTGTCCAACCACCACCACCACCACCACACCGTGTCCAACCACCACTACCACCACTACACCGTGTCCAACCACCACCACCACCACACCGTGTCCAACCACCACTACCACCACTACACCTTGTTCAACCACCACCACACCGTGTCCAACCACGACCACCACCACACTGGGTCCAACCACCACCACCACCACCACACCGTGTCCAACCACCACTACGCCGTGTCCAACCATCACCACCACCACACCATTGATTTGTCCACGCATGTTGAGGACCCTGCCTACCGAACTGACCATCATTACCGTGTATGGCCACCGCACTTGATAGAATCCAACGAAGAGCAGTCCGGTTGATTGATGATCCAGCACTAACCGATGGTCCGTCGCCTCCTAATCACTCTTCTATCACTACTAGCATTGCTACTCTGTGAACGTCGCTCATCTATTCCTCCACCCATGTTGAGCACTTGGTCTACCAGACCAGATTGTTTCATCCCGTCCCATTCTGCTTTTGTCCATCGCACAGCTCCGCTTTGGAATTCCCTCCCATCATCTCATTTCCAAAGCTCTTACGATGCATAAATAATAACACCGCTCGATTCAAGCAGCGCGTCCACTCGAATTCCTCAACCAAATAATTTCCGGGTTTGCCGCGCAGACTAGGCCAAATTGGTGTTGAACGACTCTTCCCAAGGTCGGAGCGCTGGTGGCGTAGGATCGTCGAGCTCGCGGCCATGCCCTCGAAAACAAACCGGCGATGGTCAACCCAGACGAGTCGGCGGGCCACATAAGTGACCCTCCTTCAACCCAGTGAGCTCGCAAGCTCGAGATCGTGCTTGTGCACTGATCATGGCCCCACGCGTCATCCTAGACGCACTTGGACCAGGCCACCTCGAGGGCCTGCATGGGACGCAGGTTGCCCACCACTGATGTAAGCGAGCAAGTGAATGTGCGGACCGGGTGTAGGTGGCACGTGACTAGCGGCCACGACCGTGGTGTGAGAGCTATACTGGGCATGGTGTGCTGGAGCAGGGAAATATTTTTTGGGATGAAATTAAACGACCCCCCCCCCCCCCCCGCCGTGAGATTAATGCTCCTCAAGAAGTAGAAAACCGGAATAAATTAAATTGTCACCAAACCTCTTCGTCCGTGACGACCCGGGTCTCCTCCACCACCTCCAGCAGGCTCCGCCAGGCGAGTAGGCCCTGCACAGTGGATCCGCGCTCGATCGACACGGCACTGAGCAGCTCCAGAAGCCTGAGGGCACCACACAGATGCACAGGAGAAGCCTATCCCATTAGGCCGTCTCGAATCTAACAGGCCGAGCTCAGTTAGCAGGAGGATTTGGTGGTGGTGGTGGTGGTTGTCGTGGTGGTAGTGGTGGTTGTAGTAGTAGTGGTGGTAGTGTTAGTGGTTGTAGTGGTTGTGGTGGTAGTGGTAGTACTGGTAGTGGTGGTAGTGGTTGTAGTTGTAGTGGTGGTAGTAGTGGTAGTGGTGGTAGTAGTGGTTGGAGGGTTGCCACCTGTCCTAGGTTTTTTCCAGGATCGTCCCCTTATTGAGGACGTCTCAGCTTTACTGGGAATTCTGGACTTCTTCCCAGGACGTTAAAGTTACCAATAACAACATACCCATAGTTCTACCCTCTTCCATTCTTGCTCCCGTGAATTTTGCCGGTGGTTTGTGCCTCTGAAGTGGCGACCAGAGATGGTGGCAGTGACAGTGGAGGTGGTGGGGCCAATGACGATTATTTGAACCGAATCATAGACAATCCCCTAGGTCGACTCGGCCTCAAACGAGTACCTGGTGGCATGTGCAAACGTCCCACTCGGGAGGTCAAAGCGGTCGGCCGTATTGCTGGACACTGGCCCCCATCGTGTGCCATGCCGGCCTTCATACAGTGAGGGAAAAAAGTATTCGATTCCCTCCTGATTTTGTACGTTTACCCACTGACAAAGAAATGATCAGTCTATAATTTTAATGGTAGGTTTATTTGAACAGTGAGAGACAGAATAACAACAAAAACATCCAGAAAAACGCATGTCAAAAATGTTATAAATTGATTTGCATTTTAATGAGGGAAAAAAGTATTTGACCCCCTCTCAATCAGAGAGATTTCTTGCTCCCAGGTGTCTTTTATACAGGTAACGAGCTGAGATTAGGAGCACTCTCTCAGCTTGAGAGTGCCCCTAATCTCAGCTTGTTACCTGTATAAAAGACACTTGTCCACAGAAGCAATCAATCAATCAGATTCCAAACTCTCCACCATGGCCAAGACCAAAGAGCTCTCCAAGGATGTCAGGGACAAGATTGTAGACCTACACAAGGCTGGAATGGGCTACAATACCATTGCCAAGCAGCTTGGTGATAAGGTGACAACAGTTGGTGCGATTATTCGCAAATGGAAGAAACACAAAATAACTGTCAATCTCCCTCGGTCTGGGGCTCCATGCAAAATCTCACCTCGTGGAGTTGCAATGATCATGAGAACGGTGAGGAATCAGCCCAGAACTACACGGGAGGATCTTGTCAATGATCTCAAGGCAGCTGGGACCACAGTCACCAAGAAAACAATTGGTAACACACTACGCTGTGAAGGACTGAAATCCTGCAGCGCCCGCAAGGTCCCCCTGCTCAAGAAAGCACATATACATGCCCGTCTGAAGTTTGCCAATTAACATCTGAATGATTCAGAGGACAACTGGGTGAAAATGTTGTGGTCAGATGAGACCAAAATGGAGCTCTTTGGCATCAACTCAACTCGCCGTGTTTGGAGGAGGAAGAATGCTGCCTATGACCCCAAGAACACCATCCCCACCGTCAAACATGGAGGTGGAAACATGCTTTGGGGGTGTTTTTCTGCTAAGGGGACAGGACAACTTCACCGCATCAAAGGGACGATGGACGGGGCCATGTACCGTCAAATCTTGGGTGAGAACCTCCTTCCCTCAGCCAGGGCATTGAAAATTGGTTGTGGATGGGTATTCCAGCATGACAATGACCCAAAACACACGGCCAAGGAAACAAAGGAGTGGCTCAAGAAGAAGCACTTTAAGGTCCTGAAGTGGCTTAGCCAGTCTCCAGACCTTAATCCCATAGAAAATCTGTGGAGGGAGCTGAAGGTTCGAGTTGCCAAACGTCAGCCTCGAAACCTTAATGACTTGGAGAAGATCTGCAAAGAGGAGTGGGACAAAATCCCTCCTGAGATGTGTGCACACCTGGTGACCAACTACAAGAAACGTCTGACCTCTGTGATTGCCAACAAGGGTTTTGCCACCAAGTGCTAAGCGATGTTTTGCAGAGGGGTCAAATACTTATTACCCTCATTAAAATGCAAATCAATTTATAACATTTTTGACATGCGTTTTTATGGATTTTTTTGTTGTTATTCTGTCTCTCACTGTTCAAATAAACCTACCATTAAAATTATAGACTGATCATTCCTTTCTCAGTGGGCAAACGTACAAAATCAGCAGGGGATCAAATACTTTTTTCCCTCACTGTAGGTGCTCGCTCACAGAACTTTCTCCTATAGTCTGTTAAGGCTATAGGAGGGATCCTTTATCTTTGAGGCCTACACTCCCCACGTCCAGCACTCGACGAGTGAATGAAGGATCCGGGTTGGGCCACGTGCTGAACCTTTCCTCTCTAAAGCTCTCGCCAAGCATCGGAGACTTCTACGTAAATTACAAGCGGCTGCGAAACACTCGCGTGCTAAACTTGAGTCGATGAATGAATGAATGAACATGTGAGCTAACTACTCAATCGGCCGGTGGGAGCGAGCCCGTGTGCCAGCTTCATGCGTACCACGTGGAATGAGCGAGTGGATGATTCGACCGTTGAGCAATCAAGCAAATGTGGCACCTGAAGGCCGCCTGAACGAATTAATGAATGAGTGACGTAGAAGGGAATTAATTAATGAATTGACCGGTGAGCGAGCAAGCGTGCCACCTGGAGGCGGCATGAATTAATTAACGAGTGGAGGACTTACTTGACTGGTGAGTGAGCAGTGAACATGGCACCTGCAGGGGGCCTGCATGAATGAATGAGTGTTGGAACGAATCGACTGGTGAGCGGTTGAGCGAGTGAGCGCGGCACCTGGAGGCGGCCTCGAGGGCGTCGTTGTTGGGCGGCTCGGCGAGGAGGCACACGGCGGGGGCCTCCGTGGGGGCCGCCGCTCCGCTCACTCGGCACCACCCCTGGCGCGGTGCGGGGCCCAGCAGCGAGCAGCGCGCGCCCTGCGCCAGCGACGGCTGCAGAGGGGGCGGGACAACAGAAACAAAAAGGAGACAATGGTCGCCCGGGTAGCCCGGAACAGACCGCCGTGGGGCGAGCGCCGCCAGCGAGCAGCGCCGATGATGGCCGGCACTGCGTGCACGCGAGGAGGGCGGGTGCCCCGGCAGCACGCACCGGCCTCCGTTGTCTCCCCCAGCGGCGATGTTCACACGCCGCACCGGGTACTCGTTTGAGGCCGGGTCGACCCAGGGGAGACCCGGGTTCAGATAATCGTCACCGGTGTTGGCCGTGAGCGGGAATCGAACCCGGGTCGCCGTATTCATAGCGCAGCGTAGCGCTAACCACTACGCCATCGCTCCCCACTGGACGGGGTCACACGGGGTCGCACGGGGACATTTACCAGAGATCAAGTTTACAAACTCCTTCGTTCAAATCTTCATTCATTTTCTGCAGCTTCCCCCCCCCCACCACTGTACTTACAGCAATTGTGTCAGCACAGGGACACACGCTGGGAACAGCTGGCATAGCAAGAGAGAGGCACGGGGACACACGGGGTCACACGGGGTCACTAATTACAATTGTGGGCATCACACAGAACCAACGCACATGAGCGACGGTGTTTGGAGAGGCCTTCCCCATCCAGCAGCGGACAGACCGTGGCCCGCGATTTGATAACAGCGACGACAATGGAGATCGCGCCCCCGTCCATACCTCTCCGCCCGCGGGGTAGTCGCACAGCACCCGGAGCGGTACCGCCTGCACGCCCGGCACTGCCCCAACGTTTGCCACGCCAGAAGCTGCGGCAGCCAGAGCCTGGGCCCGCGACCGCAGGTCAGCCACCACCGTGTCCTCCTCCTCCTGCGACGGCAACGATGATGACATGACGGTGGTGGTGGAGGGGGGGGAAAGGGGATAGAGGTGATGGTCAAGGATTGCATCCTCACTCGATCGTGTATTTCCGATTGAGCGCAAGGATGGAGAACTATTTTAACAACTCTTTTTTTTATTTGACCAGGTAAGGCCCACTGAGCTATGTAGCTCTTTTTCAGAAGTGACCTGGCCATGAATAATAGCTCAAGGAAGTGGCTTATTAAGTGGAAATGTATAGCTGCTATATACTCTAAATCAGGGGCGGGGAACTTTATTTCTGCCAAGGGCCATTTGGATATTTATAACATAATTCGCGGGACATACAAAATTATCAACTTAAAAATTAGCCTTTTATATTTAGTCAAACTTTTCATTAACTCACCCTTAATGCGATGGCTGGAACTGATTCTCTTTTGGTCAGGCGTGTGATGTTGTTAGCTGCTATTGATGATGTTGCTACTCACAACTGCTTTTCCAAGTTTGCTCCTAGATTTATTGAATTTCGAGTCCCGCCTACAGTTGCCTTAGCAGGGCCACATCAAATGATTTCGCGGTGCCTCATACGGCCCGCGGGCCGAACGTTCCCCACCCTTGCTCTAAACGCGTGTTGATTCTAAATGCGGACGACAAAACCGGAGGACGCCGATAAAATTTCACACGACCACAGAGAGAGGGAGAGAGACGCAAACTCCAAATATACAACAGGTGTCAGGGTCGGGATCGAACCCACGCCCTCCTGTATACCAGGCGAGGTAGTCAACATCTAGCCACCGTAGCGCACCTGACCCGTGGCCACAACCATAGCGGGTGAGGGGGGTATACTGGACGTGGTATGCCGGGCGCAATCAGCGAGCCCTCGCCTGGATCTCTTCGAAGATCGTCTCGAGCTGCCGGCGATCCGCGGCGCGTCCCCAGGAGCAGCGCGTCGCCAGGCCCCGTCGCACCTCCGCGACCGCCGCCTCCGCGTCGCGCACCCCCTCGAAGAACTGCAAGGGCGGAGACGAGCGACGTCAACCCCGGGGCAACGCCGTGGCGCACGGCGCACGCGGCGGTCGCCCTCGGAAACTCGAGGGGGAGAGGAGAGAGAGGGAGAGAGGATGGCGACTCGAGGGGTGCCCGGAGGAGGGGCCACGGACGAGCAGCGGCAGCAGCAGCAGCAGCGGTAGCAGCAGCAGCAGCGGCAGTGGCAGCAGCAGCGGCAGCAGCAGCAGCAGCAGCGGCAGCAGCAGCAGTGGCAGCAGTGGCAGCAGCAGGAGCAGCAGCGGCAGCAGCGGCAGCAGCAGCAGCAGCAGCGGCAGCAGCGGCAGCAGCAGCAGTGGCAGCAGTGGCAGCAGCAGCAGGAGCAGCAGCGGCAGCAGCGGCAGCAGCAGCAGCGGCAGCAGCAGCAGTGGCAGCAGTGGCAGCAGCAGCAGGAGCAGCAGCAGCAGCGGCAGCAGCAGCAGTGGCAGCAGTGGCAGCAGCAGCAGGAGCAGCAGCGGCAGCAGCGGCAGCAGCAGCAGCAGCAGCGGCAGCAGCGGCAGCGGCGGCAGCAGCAGCAGCGGCGGCAGCAGCAGCAGCAGCGGCAGCAGCGGCAGCGGCGGCGGCGGCGGCAGCAGCGGCAGCGGCGGCAGCAGCGGCAGCGGCGGCGGCGGCGGCGGCCACGCGGTGGCGAGGAGCCGACGCGACCAACGATTGCCCAAGCTCTGTAGTCCTCTATGGGGGAAAAAAAAACAAAACCACTGCCCGTTGTTTATGCACGAGGGAGGAACCGGAGCACCCGGAGAGTAAACCCACGTGTGCAAGGGGGTGAAGGCGCTCAGCAATTCCCAGCGATTGCCGAAGCTCTGGGCGACTCGGAGGCGAGCGGAGGAGGAACCACGGACGAGCGGGAAGGCAGTAGCCACACAGTGAGCCGGCACCAAAATCCAACCACAGCCCCCCACCCCCACCTCCAAGCTCTGAGGACCTCTATATATATTGCGGTGTTATTGGGCAACTGATGAATGTTTACACGTGGGAGGAAACTGGAGTACCCGGAGAAAATCCACACGTGCGAGGGAACAACACTCTCTCCCATACAGATGGAACAGGTGGAGTCTATATTTTTGCTTTACCACCTTCTCCTGGCGAGCCAGGGTACACAGTGCTAAATTACAGACTGACCGACTGGTCTCCGAAGGGGTCTTTAGACAATTGACTGACTGACCGGTCTCTGAAGGGATCTCTAGATAATAGACTGACCGACCAGTCTCTGAAGGGATCTCTAGACAATAGACTGACCGACCAGTCTCTGAAGGGGTCTCTAGACAATAGACTGACCGACCAGTCTCTGAAAGGGTCTCTAGACAATAGACTGACCGACCAGTCTCTGAAGGGATCTCTAGATAATAGACTGACCGACCAGTCTCTGAAGGGATCTCTAGACAATAGACTGACCGACCAGTCTCTGAAGGGGTCTCTAGACAATAGACTGACCGACCAGTCTCTGAAAGGGTCTCTAGACAATAGACTGACCGACCAGTCTCTGAAGGGGTCTCTAGACAATAGACTGACCGGCCAGTCTCTGAAGGGGTCTCTAGACAATAGACTGACTGGTCTCTGAAAGGGTCTCTAGACAACGTATTGGCTGGACTCGCCTGCAGGCACGCTGTGTGTTCGTGAAGATGCATCTCTGCACACCCGGCCAGCGTGAGGATCCAGAGCAGACGTCCCTTCAGCTCCCCCGTTATAGCCTGGATATCCACCGCAAACACGCCGCAACCACCACCACCACAACCGTCATCGTTGGAGTCATCACTGTCATCACCATCATTGTAAGTCATCGTTGTGATCATGATAGGCGTCATCATCATCATTGTAGTCATCACCGTCATCACCATCATTGTAAGTCATCGTTGTGATCACAATAGGCGTCATCATCATCAACGTATTTAAAGTCATCGGCATCATCATCTTTGTCACCATCGTAATCACCGTCGTCGTTATAAGCATTTATATAACAATCATTATTATCTCAATCATAACCACCATTTCATTATCACTATTATATAATCATCATCGTCATCATCATCACCATCGTTATTCCCGTAATCACAATCGTCGTCATTTTCACCACAACTATTCTAATAATCATCAACGCATTTGTCATCATCATAATCACCACGCCAATCATCATCGGCAGCAGCATCCGGAAAATAACCATCATCACCATCATCACCACGTGCGGACCGAGTGTGGTGGTGGTGGTGGTTACTGCGTGAGACCTTCAACTCGCTGAGCTTGGGAAGCATCGAGACAGTGGTGGCGGTGTCTGTCTGTGTCTGTCTGTGTCTGTGTCTGTCGGTGTCTGTGTGTGTCTGTCTGTCTGTGTCTGTGTGTGTCTGTCTGTGTCTGTCTGTATCTGTCGGTGTATGTGTCTCTGTGTCGGTGTCTGTGTCTGTCTGTGTCTGTCGTTGTCTGTCGGTGTCTGTCTGTGTCTGTCTGTGTCTGTGTCGGTGTCTGTCGGTGTCTGTGTCTGTCTGTGTCTGTGTGTCTGTCTGTCTGTGTCTGTGTGTGTCTGTCTGTGTCTGTCTGTATCTGTCGGTGTATGTGTCTCTGTGTCGGTGTCTGTCTGTGTCTGTCTGTGTCTGTCTTTGTCTGTCGGTGTCTGTCTGTGTCTGTGTGTGTCTGTCTGTGTCTGTCTGTGTCTGTTGGTGTCTGTCTGTGTGTTTGTCTATTTTGGTGATGAGTCTTGCTGTCAGAGACGACAACGTGGAGGGATGGCGAAGGGAGGGAGGGAGGGGAGGATCGGGGAGGGAGGGGAGGAGAGAGGAGGGGAGGGGAGGGTGGGAGGGAGGGAGGGAAGGGAGAGGAGGGAGGGAGGGAGGGGAGGGAGTACCGTGATGGAATCCTGCGCTGGGTGACCCGACTCGATCAGACTCTGCCCAGACTCACAGATCCCTGCCACCTCCTCCTCCACGCGCAACAGCTCCGCACGCAGAGCCTGCACACACGGCCGCACACACACACACAGGTGCACACACGCACACACGCATACGTGGCCCAATTAATAATCGATTTAAGGGGGCAGGCCGCTTCATGATCTGGCCAAGTTTGTCTTTTTTTGTCGTGTTACCCTCCACCACCCGATGCAGGCAAACAAATCAAGTTGCCCGCGTGCACGCCCCTTCAACGCGGCGATTATAATCGTGAGTTGAAGAGAAGTTCTCACAACGTAAATGCAACGCTTGGTTAGAAGAAGAAACATCGGCCAGATCACTGACATGGGGTGAGCGGGCGAATGAGCGAGTTGAAGGGAGCTTCAGCGAGCGGGTGAGTGAGCAGGTGAGCGAGCGAGTGATTGAGCGGGTGAGCTGGTGCTCGGGCACGCGAGTGAGTGGGCGAGCGGGTAAACTGGTGTGTGATTGAGCAGGTGAGTGGGCAAGTGAGCGGGTGAGTGAGTGGGCAAGCGAGTGAGCGAGCGAGCGAGCAGGTGAGCTTGCACGTGGGCGAGCTGGTAAGCGAACGGACAGGCGGGTGATTGAGCTGGCGAATGAGCGGGTGAGTAACCAAGTGAGCAGGTGCATGAGTGAGTGGGTGAGTGAGCGAGCGAGCGAGCGAGTGAGCGAGCAAGCGGGTGAGTGAGCGAGCGAGTCAGTGAGCGTGTGCGTGAGCCAGTGAGCGAGCGGGCGAGCGAGCGAGTCAACGAGTGAGCGGGGCGATTGCGAGAGAGACGCACTCTCAGGGAGTCGCCCTTGGCGGGCAATCCATCCGTGCGGCTCCAGTCGTGTGAGAGCTCCGCGGCCTCGGCACGCGCCATCCACTCGAGCGGCCCGCGGGCGCTGGCGGCCAGGGCGAGCAGCGCCCGCAGGTGCAGCGCACGCGCCTCCCACGAGTGCTGGCACACACACACACACAGCACGTGCCGCACAGAGGCAAAGGTCCCCCGTATAGCCTCGAGCAGAGAGGTCGGCAAGACCTGCGGCTCGGGAGCTGCATGCAGTGGCCCTTTGGCTGCCGCTTTTAAGAAAAATAAAAATATATATCCTGAAACGTAATTTGATGCAGGGATAATTTATTTATTTTTAGATGGCAGGGAATGGGTCTTGGTGACAACAGAATGTACAACAGTCAAAACTGTCTTGTTACAGGATAACTAAGGGGGGATGGGGGGTGTAAAAAAGACGAAATAGACGCACATTTATTCCATCACCTATTTCGTTGATTTAAATCAGAATTAGTTTATCACCTGCCGCTGTGTCTGTGTACAAGTCGCTCGCTCTCTCTGCGTGTGATGCGGCTCTAAAACAATGTTGGTCACAGACAAAAAAACAAATCTAAAAAGACGTCTCTTCTTCGTCTTCTTCGAAAGGTTACCGACTCCCCCAGGTCTAACAGGACTGTTGGGGCAAGTGCTGTGTGGTGAGCACCTGCGAAGGCCGGCACGGCACATCGGGTGGTGGTGGTGTATGTGGTCAGCAAACCCTCGCCCGGCCACCTTTGTCTCCCCACAGCAGGCGCTCGTTTTTTTAAGGCTGAGCCGACCTTGAGGTGCCAGTAACCGGTCGATTACACGTATGCATATATTCGCTGTTGTTACTGTTGCCACTGAGCGGAAATAGAACTCGGGTTTTTTACCGGCTCCGAAGCTCACCGTCGCTCCGCACGCACGGCACACGCGCGGAAACCGGTGGCCGCCGCCGCTGCAAGGATGACCGGAGTTGTCGCGATGACCGGAGTTTACGCTCCATGACGAGCTCGGCAAGGTGCCGTGGTTCATTTGCGGCGAGCTCTGTGGTGTGTGACGAGCACGACCTCGTCGTGTGTAGCCCCACCTTGAGGTTCGCGTAGGCCACGTTAACTCGCTGCAGCTGTCTGTCGTATTCCGCTTGATGTTCCACAAGCAAGGCGTCCTGCAGGAGAGGAGGATGTCATCATCAGCAGCAGCAGCAGCAAGAGCGTCCGCAGCAGGAACAACAGTTAAAATAACACGAGCAGCAGCAGCAGCATTTTGAATGGTAAAAGTAGCTGCATTATCATCATCATCAGCAGCAGCAGCAGCAGCATTTTTAATGGTAAAAGTAGCTGCATTATCATCATCAGCAGCAGCAGCATGACGATCGTGAGCATCGGCACCATTATCAGCAGCAATACTATTGTCATCAAGTGCAGCATCATAAGCAGCAGCATCATCATAATCATCATCAGCAGCAACATCATGATAATCATCATCAGCAGCATCATCATCATCATAATCTTCATCATAATCTTCATTATAATCTTCAGCAGCAGAATCTTGATCATGACGATGATCAGCCTCATGACCATGAGCATGACGATGGCCACGAGCATGACGACGATCATCATGACGATCATGATAACGGTGATGATGAGTGGCGAGCGCCGTACCCGTGCCCGCGAGGCGTCGTCGACGGCGGTGCCCAGCAGCAGCACGCGGTGCTCCAGCGCCTGGACGCCGGCCAGGGCCATCGTCACGCCGGGCTCGTCTCTCCCCCACTCGGCCCCGTCCACCTCCGCCTGCCCGGCACGGAGAACGCGCGGGGGGGGGGGGGGGGGGGGGATGTCAAGGGCCGACGTTGGGCCAACGTCGGGTCAACGTTGGTCGGACGGTTCCAACCACGTGTCAACGTCAGGTCAACGTTGGTCCGACGGTTTCAACCACGTGTCAACGTTGGGAAATGTCCAACCTGCGTCAACCTTGCCCTATCTCGTGTTAGAATATTCATTTCCTAAAATGAACAATAAAAATTACATCCCAGGTTCACTGCATATATATATACATTCTGAAGAAGGGCCATAATATGAAATGTCGCTTGATTGTATCTTTTTTTTATCTGTGACGGCCACACACACACACACAGACACAAATTGATTTTGTGTTTAGTTTGCTGTCCTTACCCCGCACCTCCAATTAGCACAGTTGGCTACGTACGGCGCAAAAGAAGTTCAACACACACACTCAGGCTGCGGTTGTTGTTGACCATCACGCCGAGGTCGTCTGCCTCACTGCCCACTCGCTGTGCCGGGTTTTCCGTTCTCGTGTTTCTCGAGCGCCTGGTGTACCTGCGCCTGGTGTACCTACGCCTGGTGTACCTGCGCCTGGTGTACCTGTGCCTGGTGTACCTGCGCCTGGTGTACCTGCGTCTGGTGTACCTGCGCCTGGTGTACCTGCGTCTGGTGTACCTGCGCCTGGTGTACCTGAGTCTGGTGTACCTGCACCTGGTGTACCTGAGTCTGGTGTACCTGCACCTGGAGTACCTGAGTCTGGTGTACCTGCGCCTGGTGTACCTACGCCTGGTGTACCTGCGCCTGGTGTACCTACGCCTGGTGTACCTGCGTCTGGTGTACCTGCACCTGGAGTACCTGAGTCTGGTGTACCTGCGCCTGGTGTACCTACGCCTGGTGTACCTGCGCCTGGTGTACCTACGCCTGGTGTACCTGCGTCTGGTGTACCTACGCCTGGTGTACCTGCGTCTGGTGTACCTGCGCCTGGTGTACCTGAGTCTGGTGTACCTGCGCCTGGTGTACCTACGCCTGGTGTACCTACGCCTGGTGTACCTGCATGTGGTGTACCTGCGCCTGGTGTACCTACACCTGGTGTACCTGCGCCTGGTGTACCTGCACCTGGTGTACCTGCACCTGGTGTACCTGCGTCTGGTGTACCTACGCCTGGTGTACCTGCGTCTGGTGTACCTGTGCCTGGTGTACCTGCGCCTGGTGTACCTGCGTCTGTGCGACTTTGGCGAGCAGCTCCTCCAGTGACCTGAGTCGCTGCTCGCTCTCCGCCCTGGCTTCCTGGTCACTCCTGCACGCACACACACGCACACACACGCACGCACACACACGCACACACACGCACGCACACACACGCACACACACGCACACACACGCACACATGCATGCACGCACGCACATGCACAGCGCGCTAACTGCCACGCTCCCGCTCCCCACACACACACACAGATACAAAGACAAACATCCCCCGTATAGCCTTAACAGACTGTTGGGGCAAGTGCTGTTAGTGAGCACCTATGAAGGCCAGCAAGGCACACGAGGGGGTGGGTGCCCAGCAACCATGTCCGGCCGCCTTTGTCTCCTCAATGGCGATGTTTACACACCACACCAGGTACTCATTTGAAGGCTGAGTCGACCTAGGGGAGGCCCAGGACCGGTTCAGATAATCGTCATTGGTTTTGGGCCGTGAGCGGGAATCGAACTCGGGTTTTCAGATTTGTAGCGCAGCGCTTAACCGCTATGCCACCGCTCCCCACGCACACTCAGGAAAGGGGAGCAACAGCCATCGCGGTCAGCGCTATCAAGCCACAGGGAGTGGATGCCTCACGCACGGTTGCTCCGGTTACCGAGACGGTTGCTGTGGCTAACTGAGACGGTTGCTACGATTACAGAGAGGGGGCGGCAGTGTTCGTTTGTCGCTCGCGAAAGTTGCTCGTGGGGCATTGGAGGCCTTCAGTCGGTTTGATAACGGGGGGGGGGGGAGGTTGTGGGGGGGGGGGGCGTGGGGTGGATTGCCCCCCAACCCCGTACCTCTGGTTCCCGGACAGGACGCTCCGCTCTTGATCGTCGAGCAGCAGCGTGAGCTTGGACCACTCCTCCTCCACGTGCTCGGGGGTCAGGTCGGGCGGCACGCGGATGCGCCCAAAGCTGATCCACACCTGCCACACAGCGGTCGACGGTTCGATGAGCTTCAGTCGGGCTACGTACACGGTGCCGAAGGAGCTTGAAAGAAGCCCGGCGTACGTGCAGGCAGAGAACGGAGCGGTCGCCAATTGATTGAGTCACCACAGTCGTCGTCACAGTAGAAGTTGTTAAGTTAGTCATTACCACCGCCGTTGTCATCGTAGAAGTAGTTAAGTTAGTCATTACCACCGTCGTCGTCATCATAGAAGTTGTTAAGTTAGTCATTACCACCATCATCATCATTGTAGAAGTTGTTAAGTTAGTCATTACCACCATCGTCATCATCATCATAGAAGTTGTTAAGTTAGTCATTACCACCATCGTCATCATAGAAGTTGTTAAGTTAGTCATTACCACCGTCACCGTAGAAGTTGTTAAGTTAGTCATTACCACCATCGTCGTCATCGTAGAAGTTGTTAAGTTAGTCATTACCACCGTAGTCGTCATCGTAGAAGTTGTTAAGTTAGTCATTACCACAGTCATCGTAGAAGTTGTTAAGTTAGTCATTGCCACCATCATCATCATCGTATAAGTTGTTAAGTTAGTCATTACCACCATAGTTGTCAACATAGAAGTAGTTAAGTTAGTCATTACCACCATCATCGTCATCGTAGAAGTTGTTAAGTTAGTCATTACCACCATAGTTGTCAACATAGAAGTTGTTAAGTTAGTCATTACCACCATAGTTGTCAACATAGAAGTTGTTAAGTTAGTCATTACCACCATAGTTGTCAACATAGAAGTTGTTAAGTTAGTCATTACCCCCGTCGTCGTCATCGTAGAAGTTGTTAAGTTAGTCATTACCACCGTCATCGTTATCATAGAAGTCGTTAAGTTAGTCATTACCACCATCGTCGTCACAGTAGAAGTTGTTAAGTTAGTCATTACCACCATAGTTGTTATCGTAGAAGTTGTTAAGTTAGTCAATACCACCATCATCGTTATCATAGAAGTTGTTAAGTTAGTCATTACCACCGTCTTCGTCATTGTAGAAGTTGTTAAGTTAGTCATTACCACCATCGTCGTCATCATAGAAGTAGTTAAGTTAGTCATTACCACCGTCATCGTCATCATAGAAGTTGTTAAGTTAGTCATAACCACCGTCGTCGTTATCGTAGAAGTTGTTAAGTTAGTCATTACCACCATCGTCGTCATCATAGAAGTTGATAAGTTAGTTATTACCACCATCGTCGTAATCGTAGAAGTTGTTAAGTTAGTCATTACCACCATCGCCGTCATCGTAGAAGTTGTTAAGTTAGTCATTACCACCGTCATCATAGAAGTTGTTAAGTTAGTCATTACCACCGTCATCGTAGAAGTTGTTAAGTTAGTCATTACCACCGTCATCGTAGAAGTTGTTAAGTTAGTCATTACCACCGTCATCATAGAAGTTGTTAAGTTAGTCATTACCACCGTCATCGTAGAAGTTGTTAAGTTAGTCATTAGCACCATCGTCGTCATCGTAGAAGTTGTTAATATCGTCGTCATCGCTGCAATCATCATCATCGGCGTTGTGATCGCCATCATCATCGTCATCAATGTCGTCGTCATCACGTGCCAATCATGTAGCCAGTCATGATGATCCCAAAATCCATTTCATCACACACGTGTGTGTACATACACAAGTGTGTGTGTGTGTACACACACTTGTGCATGTGTGTGCGGTGTGTAACATCGCCACTGGGGAGACAAGGGCGGCTGAGCCTGGTGCCGGCCACCCACTCCCTCGCGTGGCCATGCCGACCTTAATAGTTGCTCCTCACTAACCGCACTGCGCGTGTGTGTGTGTGTGTGCGCACACCTCGAGAGCCTTGTACAGTGCGTAGATCTGGCTCTTCTCCTCGGCTTTAGCCACCATCTCCGTGTCCCGCAGCTCTGCAAACCAGGCGAGCACGGCCTGCAAGCCCCGAGGCAAAACACCGCACCGACGCTTCCTTCCTTCTGCCCACAAAACCCCCACAGCCGCGCCCGTTGTACACAAAGTGCTTGCCGCAGGCGAACCTCGCTGACCTCGTCGAGGGCCAGACACGACTGTCACGTGAACTCCCATCGTCCCTGCAGCGGCGGCCTTTTGGCGAACCGTCGTGCAAAGACGGTGGTCACCGCGTCGTGCGCTTTCAGATGCCCTTCTGCGGCCGTCTGGAACGCTCTTCCTTCCGAAATTAGGAAGCCACTGGAGCTACGCACTTTTACACAAAGATTGAAAACATAGCCGCATGCCCGGCCACCGAATGCCCGAGAAAGGTTATGTTTGGTCAGATAGAGGGGGCTAAATGGGCATGGCATGGGCTAGAGAAGAGATAGGCTGATGTGATGTCGAAGGATTTGGAGCTGAGTGACCTTGCCGAATGGCTGGTACCAGCGGTATCAAGATCATCCTCTGTGGAGGAGGAGGAGGTTTGTGAAGGAAGCTGCTGGATGACGTACTTTCGATTAGCAGGATTGGCTACGTACCGTGTGAAAGAAGTTGAACATCAATAGATACATGGGCATTTGGAGGCAGTCGCCCTCCAGTAAAAGCGGAAGGCAGAGGAGCGACGCTCAAAACAACGAGCGGAGCGCCGGGCAGCTAAAGCACCGTCAACCCGTTACACCTGGTTCTCTCGACCTACCATCAAGAATTCGAAACATCACATGGCTTCAAAGTGCACTTAGCCTGGCACAAGAGCCATGGTGATGTCACCGCTACTTATTGGCGAATGGCGGCTGCTGTTGTCCCACGTGAATCAGTGACCTCTCCGTCACGTGGTTCAACAAAGTAAAGGGAGGGAGGGAGGCAGGCAGGGAGCCAGGTAGAGAGGGAGGGAAGTAGGGAGGGAGGGAGGGGCACCTTGGCCTGCGCCTCGTCTGTGGGCCGAGACGACTGGCGGATGCGAGCGCCCTGCTGCTCGATCCAGGCGAGGAGCTCTCGCACCAAGCGCTGGTACTCGTCCCAGTGCGCGTCGACCTCCTACACGGGGGGAGGGACACGGGAATGTGGGGATGAGAGATGGGGACACGGAGACAAGGAAACACAGGGACACGGGGCTGAGGCATGGGAACACGGAGACACAGGGACACCAGGGTGAGACATGGGGACATGGGAACATGTGGATACGGAGACATGGGGATACAGGAACATGGAGACCCAAAGACATGGGGACATGGAGGCACGGGCACACAGGGACACGGGCACACAGGGACACGGGGACACACCTGCAGGCTGATGCCACCAGCGGGGATTCGAGGGAAGGCGTCGTAGAGCGAGGAGACGTATGTGACGATGGACTTCTCGTCAGGGTTGGGCACATCCACATCTAGCATCATCACCATTACCATCAGTAGCAGCAATTATATCGCCGTGATCATCGTCAGCAACTACAGCAGCAACATCGCCAGCAAAAGCATTATCAGCAACAGCACTATCAGCAGCAGCAACAGCATCAACAGCAGCAATATCAGCAGCGGGGAACCATAAATCATCAGCACCACCGTCATCAGCAGTTACAGCTCCAGCAGTAGCCACATCATCAGCAACAGCAGCAGTGCCATCAGTAACAGTATCAGATGCATGATCTCTATGATCAAACAGCTACTTTTTTTATTTGACCAGGCAAGGCCCCCTGAGCCATGTAGCTCTTTTTCAGAAGTGAGTCGGCCACAAGTGATAGCTCAACGAAGTGGCTTGTCACGTGGAAATTTACAGCAGCAGCCAAATGCTCTGAACGCGCGTTGATTAAAAAATGTGGAGGGAAAAACCGGAGGACCCGGACAAAAATCCACGCGACCACGGGGAGAGAAACATGCAAAATCCAAATCTACAGGCATCAGGGTCTAGATCGAGCCCAAGACCTCCTGTATACCAGGCGAGGTAATTGACATCTCCTAGCCACCGTGGCGCAATGACGATGAGCCTCCTCCCACCTTTGACCGAGATGAAATCACGAAAAACCAGGACTGAAATCCGGTACGCGCGTGCGCATGATTTTTTTTCCTAGCCTCTGTCTTTGACGTCTCACCTTCGGGGTCCAGGAGGCGAATGACCTCGAAGTTCTGCTCGGCCGTAACGAAGGCCCGCTCGAGGTTCTCCACGTTGCTGCTCACATAGACCTTCTCAATGTTGATGAGGTCCGGCCTGCGTGCCCGGACACGGGAGGGTTATGGGCTGGAATTAGGCGTGAAAGAGATGCGCGAGATTGAGGTGTGAAGAGCGAGGTGTGTGTGTGTGTGTGAGCACGAGGTGTGAAACCTTGAACGTGCAGAGAAGAAGGACAAATCGCACACAGGGGATAAAACTCGCGCACGCACGAACGCTGATGCAGCACTTCGCAATTGGTGTACCGCGGTACAAGTGCCTGGTGTACTGCAGTATTTTAAAATAAATATAAAGGGAAGAACCCCGCTGTTCGCGAGCCAGGATGGACAGAACTCTCTCTTTGTCCTTCTCTCTCCGTGCCGTTCAGTGGCCGATCCAGCTCCCCCACTCAACCCCCCCCCACTACCTCCCTCTCCATTGGCCGCGTGCACGTGTCAGTGTGGCAGCCGTCAGCCCTCACCCCCGGCCCTCTGGACTCCCTCGCTCGCGGGCGCGTGACGTGGAATGAGAAAAGGTTGAGAAGTACCGCACCGACGAATTCACAGAGATCCCCCGTATAGCCTTTAACAGACAGTGCCGTTAGGGAGCATCTATGTAGGCCGTCACGAAACACGGGTGGAGGCTGGGGGGGGGGGGGGGTCAGCGTCACGCCCTCCGTCTTCCCAGTGCTGATGCTTACTACACACCGCACCAGGAGGACCAGGAATCGTTTTAGATATTTGTCACTGGTGTTGGCCGTGAGTGGGAATCGCAGTGTGCTAACTACTGTGCCACCGCTCCCCACAATATGATGAGGGTCAATGCCACCATGACCCCCATCATCATCATCAAGTGACCCCCATCATCATCCCATTCATCACCATGACCCTCACCACCATGACCCCCATCATCATCAACGTGACCCCCATCATCAACACCATGACTCCCATCACCACCATGACCCTCACCATCACCACCGTGACCCCCATCATCATCACCATCACCACCATGACCCCCATCACCACCACCACCATCACCGCCCCACCTGTGCTTGTGGATGATGGCATTGAACACCTTGCCATCTCGCCACGACGTGGAGAAGTTGTCGCACTTGAGGCTCGGGTAGCCGTCGATGGTGTTCCTCACCCACACCATGAGGCGGCTCTGAGCCGTCAGGTCACGGTGCTGGTCCCCCACCTCGATCTCCGACACCTGGATAACCCCACCCCCGCCCCACCAAAACAGTGGCCCCCACAGCCCCCCACAGCCCCCCCACATACCCCAAGCACGTTAGCAATTTAACGCAAGTCGCAAGCTTGCAACTCCCCGGCATGCGCTGATCGACGTTGGCTCACTATGGCTCACTCCCACAATGCACTGTGTGTAGTGGTGTAACTCCCATAATGCACTGTATAGAGTGGTGTAACTCCCACAATGCGCTGTGTGTAGTGGTGTAACTCCCACAATGCACTGTGTGTAATGGTGTAACTCCCACAATGCACTGTGTGTACTGGTGTAACTTCCACAATGCACTGCGTGTACTTATGCAACGCCCACAATACACTGCATGTACTTGTACAACTCCCACAATGCACTGCGTGTACTTGTGCAACTCCCACAATGCACTGCGTGTACTTGTGCAGCTCCCACAATGCACTGCGTGTACTTGTGCAACTCCCATAATGCACTGCGTGCAGTGATATAGCTGTCGTGCCGGCTACCACAATATCATCTCTTTTAATACGCAATGAACAGTTTTATTCAAACATACGATATGCTTACTCCAGTGACAAAAGGTAATCGTGAGCGTCATTGTGGAGAATATAAATACTAAAATATGTAAGCAGGCACTACACTATGTCTCCCTCACGTATCCTTCCCTCAACATTAACAACAAATACAAGCATTTCTGCGACAACCCAACGGCCACTACAGCCTTCTGACAGTGAACAATGTCAGCAGCATTGATCAGTACGAGCAACACTCTGGACTGGGTTCGACACCCAGTGTCTGGGCACTATAGGGTGGTCTATTGCCACTCCTTAAACCGTCACCTAACCGTGAACCTGAATGGTGAGTCAGTGAGTGAGTTGGTTGGTGAATTAGTGAGTTGGTGAATTAGTGAGTCGGTGTGTAAGGGAATATGCAGATAAATGGGCATGTGAGTGAGTTAGTAGAATAGTGGGTGAGCGAGCGAGTAAGAATCAGATTCTGTATTAGCACCGGAGGAATCCGATGGGCTATGAAGCTCTTTTTCACAGATGTCCAGTGCGTTTCACAGAGAAGTGACGACCAAAGTTGGTGGATGAGTGAGTGAGCTAACGCAGAGGCAAGTGGAGCTGCAAGGTAAGAGACGCTCGTTCCGCGTGTCCGCACTGCGGTGAGCGGGCGAGTGGTCACACCTGGAAATGCAGGATCAGGGTCCATATGAGGCCCAGCGTGAGCTTGGGGCTCCCCTGGGTGATTTCCTCACTGCGGATGTTCACCAACTTGACCTGCCGCCAGGGACCGGGACAGTGGATAGAGGTGGAGAGGGGCGAGGCGTGGAGAGGGGCGAGGGGGTTCAGAGGGCCGAGGGGGTGGAGAGGAGCGAGGGGGTGGAGAGGGGTGGAGAGGGCCGAGAGGGTGGAGAGGGGCGAGGGGGTGGAGAGGGGTGGAGAGGGGCGAGGGGGTGGGGAGGGGTGGAGAGGAGCGAGGGGGTGGAGAGGGGCGAGGGGGTGGAGAGGGGTGAGGGGGTGGAGAGGGCCGAGAGGGTGAAGAGGAGCGAGGGGGTGGAGAGGGCCAAGGGGGTGGAGAGGGGTGAGGGGGTGGAGAGGAGCGAGGGGGTGGAGAGGGCCGAGGGGGTGGAGAGGGGTGAGGGGGTGGAGAGGGGTGAGGGGGTGGAGAGGGGCGAGGGGGTGGGGAGGGGTGGAGAGGGGTGAGGGGGTGGAGAGGGCCGAGAGGGTGAAGAGGAGCGAGGGGGAGGAGAGGGGCGAGGGGGGTGGTGAGGGGTGGAGAGGGGTGAGGGGGTGGAGAGGGGTGAGGGGGTGGAGAGGGGTGAGGGGGTGGAGAGGGCCGAGGGGGTGGAGAGGAGCGAGGGGGTGGTGAGGGTTGGAGAGGGCCAAGGGGGTGGAGAGGGGTGGAGAGGGCCGAGGGGGTGGAGAGGGCCGAGAGGGTGGTGAGGGGTGGAGAGGAGCGAGGGGGTAGGGAGGGGTGGAGAGGGGTCCTCTCAATAAAGGGGCTTGATGCTCAGTAAGGCGCTCTCCCGCTGGTGCTGCTTCCGCTGCTCGTACCTGTTTCTTGCGCAGGAACTCGAGGGCGATGTTCACGTTCTGGAGCATGTGCACCAGCATCTTGCCCTTCTCACGGGGCTGCTCGCACGCACACACACGACCAGAGCTGCTATAGACAAGGATCCCCCGTAAAGCCTTCAACGGGCCGTTGGGCCAAGTGCTGTTGGCGAGTAGCAGCACCTGTGATGGTGCGCAAGGCGGTGGGGGGCCAGCACCATGCCCGGCTGGGTGAGTGTGAGTCATTGAGAGTGTGTGAGTCAGTGAGTGAGTCAGTCAGTGAGTCATTGAGTGAGTGTGACTGAGTGTGTGAGTGAGTGAGTCATTGAGTGAGTCAGTGTGTGAGTGAGTGAGTGTGTGAGTGAGTCAGTGTGTGAGTGAGTGTGTGAGTGAGTCAATGAATGAGTGAATATGAGTGAGTCATTGAGTGAGTGTGTGAGTGAGTCAGTGTGTGAGTGTGTGAGTGAGTCATTGAGTGAGTGAGTGTGTGAGTGAGTGAGTCATTGAATGAATGTGTGAGTCAGTGTGTGAGTCAGTGTGTGAGTAAGTCAGTGTGTGAGTGAGTGAGTGTGTGAGTGAGTGAGTGTGTGAATGAGTCAGTGTGTGAGTGAGTGTGTGAGTGAGTCAATGAATGAGTGAATGTGAGTGAGTCATTGAGTGAGTGAGTGTGTGAGTGAGTGAGTGTGTGAGTGAGTGTGTGAGTGAGTCAGTGTGTGAGTGAGTCAGTGTGTGAGTGAGTGTGTGAGTGAGTCAGTGAGTGAGTGAGTGTGTGAGTGAGTCAGTGTGTGAGTGAGTGTGTGAGTGAGTCAATGAATGAGTGAATGTGAGTGAGTCATTGAATGAGTGTGTGAGTGAGTCATTGAGTGAGTGAGTGTGTGAGTGAGTCAGTGTGTGAGTGAGTGTGTGAGTGAGTCAGTGAATGAGTGAATGTGAGTGAGTCATTGAGTGAGTGTGTGAGTGAGTCAGTGTGTGAGTGAGTGTGTGAGTGAGTCAGTGTGTGAGTGAGTGTGTGAGTGAGTAATTGAGTGAGCGTGTGTGCGTACGGATATTCTTCACGAACCAGTTTTTCCCCGGACAGCACTTCCAGGAGACACAGGAGGTTGTGTCCATCCCGGAGATCCACGTACAGATCATCGACGTGCCTCTTGGCCTACCCGCACAGCACACGGGACACGCGGGAGAACACACAGCCAATGAATCAGAATCAGAATATGGATTTACTACTGGAGGAATCCGATGAATCATGAAAGCTCACCTGCAGTGTGGCGAGTGAGTGAAAGGATGAGTGAGTGGGTGCATTGTTGTGACCTGCAGGGTGGTGGTTGAGCGAAGAGATGAGTAGGTGAGGCAGTGGGTGAGTAGGTGAGAGAGTGGGTGAGTAGGTGAGGGAGTGGTTGAGGGAGTGGGTGAGTAGGTGAGTGGGTGAGCTGTTGTGACCTGCAGTGCGGTGGTTGAGTGAGTGAATCAGAAACAGAATATATATACAGACTGGAGGAATCAGATGAGCTATAAAGCTCTTTTACACAGATGTCCGGTCGGAGCGGATCAGAACGTTACAACAACCAACAGTACAAAAACACGATGGGTGTGCAAAGTATACGAAAGGTAAACAAATCACTTAAAATATATACCTAAATAAACACAACTATGTTTTTATATTACCAGACAAAGCCCGCTGAGCTATGAGTGAGCCACAAAGCATTTCGAAACATCGTCGTCATCATCAGCCGTGGTCAATCCACTGCTGGTTTAAGATCTCCCCGACCCGCCACCGTGATCTGCCACGGTCTAGCGATGCGAAGACCCACCAAAGATCCCCCGTATAGCCTTAACAGACTGTAGGGGCAAGTGCTGTTAGCGAGCAGCACCTATAAAGGCCGGAACGGCACACCCGGTGGATGGTGTGGGCAACACCACGCCCGGCCGCCTTTGTCTTCCTAGTGGCAACGTTTACACACCACACCAGGTACTCATTTGAGGCTGAGTCGACCTAGGGGAGGCCCAGGACCGGCTCGAATAATCGTCGCTGGTGTTGTCCGTGAGCGGGGAATCGAACTCGGGCCACTGGGTTCGTAGCGCATCGCGATAACCACTACACTACCGCTCCCCCCACACACACAGAGACACATACACAGACACACACACAGAGACACACACACAGACACACACACAGAGACACAAACACAGAGACACACACAGAGACACACACACACACAGACACACAGAGCGACACACACACAGAGACACACACAGAGCGAGACATACACAGAGACACACAAAGCGATACACACACAGAGACACACACACAGAGCGACACACACACAGAGACACACAAAGCGATACACACACAGAGACACACAAAGCAATACACACACAGAGACACACACACAGAGCGACACACACACAGAGACACACACAGAGACACACACACAGAGCGACACACACACAGAGCAACACACACAGAGACACACAGACCGACAGACACAAACAGAGCGAAACACACAGAGACACACACAGAGACACACACAAAGCGACACACACACAGAGACACACACAGAGACACACACACAGAGCGACACACACACAGAGCGACACACACATAGAGCAACACACACAGAGACACACACAGAGCGACACACACAGACACACACAGAGCGAAACACACAGAGACACACACACAGAGACACACACAAAGCGACACACACACAAAGCGACACACACAGAGACACACACAGAGACACACACAGAGCGACACACACACAGAGCGACACACACACAGAGACACACACAGAGCGACACACACAGACACACTCAGAGCAACACACACACAGAGCGACACACACAGACACACACAGAGCAACACACACACAGAGACACACACACAGACACACACACAGGGACCTCACCTTCTGCAGGTGCTTGTTCACCCACTTGGTGAAGGTTTTCTTTTGAACTCTCTCCCTCTCATCTGCGAGTGGGGGAGGAGGGGGGGGGTTCATCAACGGCGGTGGGGGGTTGAGAGGGGAGAGAATTGTAAAAGTGGATTAATTTTAATCGTCATTAGCGGCACCTTCCCTAATGAGCGACTCTAACGAGATGCGCCGTTGCCCCTTGACGTCCGCGTGCATGTTGAACTTCTTTCGCACCGTGCGTAGCCAACCGTGCGGGGGAAGGACAACAAACTGAACAACAAAGAGCACTTTGAAATAAATGAGTTTTAAAAGTGCGCAGATCCAGAGGCTTCCTAATATCGGGAGGAAGAGAGCGTTCCAGACGGCCGCAGAAGCGCATCCGAAAAACGCGCGTTGCGGTGACTGTCTTTGGTTCGACGGCCAGCCCCGAAGCCGCTGCGAGTATGACCCTAGTTTGCGTGACGGTTGATCCTCCTTGCAAGAGATCAGCAAGGGTATCGCGTTTCATTTGTGGCGAATGTAACTGACTCTCGTCGAAGACGCCCGTGGAAACCGTCAACCGCATCATCGGAACATCGACAACAGGCCGCGGAGCATTGAAGACGCGAGCTACAGTTGTAGCCACGGTTGTGGCCATGCAACCCCAAGCACGGACCGTTTGGTAGACACACAGAGACACACAGAGACACACAGAGACTCACGGAGACCCATAGAGACCCATAGAGACCTATGGAGACACACAGCGACCCATAGATACACATGTAGACCCATAGATATGCATTAAAGACAAGCCACAGCAGTGTGATTGTGGCCACACAACCCAAATTATGGACCTGTTAGACAACCCACAGAGACTCACGGAGACCCATAGAGACCCATAGAGATACACAGAGACCCATAGAGATACACAAAAGGCAATCGACAGCAGTGTGATTGTGTAAACGTTAGTCCGAAGGTTCAAACCCCCAAGGTAGCAACGTCATTGGCATTGTTGTAACTGGGCTGTTGACGTGTCCCCTAACCAGCACTGCGGGGGTGATGGTAGATTCCCCGCCTCCGGTTAAAAGCCGGGTCAGACCCGGGACAGGTGGCAACCGCACAGAGGGCCCTCTCGGGGTCGCTGGCACGAGGGTGGGTGGGGTGGAGGAGATCATCCGGAGCTGAGGATGCAAGAGATGACGACTTTCCCCGCGTCAATAATGAATGAGCGCGAGCGCACAATGCACGCGGCACGCCATCAATAATGGAAGGCGGAGTGGCTCATCACGACGGCGAGCGTGTCGAGAGCGGGGAGAGACAAACACGGCCATCGTCACCCCGCAGTGTCGTGGGGGGCGGGCGGGGGGGCGACAGGGGGAGGGTGGCCGGGGGGGCGGGGAGAACGGGGGGGGGGGCGTGGGGGGGACAGTGGGGGGGGTGCCTTGACAACTTCCTGGCCACCTCGCAGCAGCCCCCAGCGGGCTTTGAGGAGTTTCACAAACCTCTCTCTACGTGATCCACCAACTCCCTGTGCCTACAAACTTGTTCGCACCGTACATAGCCGGCCGTGCTAAGCGGAGGTGTGCGCGTGCGTTTTTGTACGCAGGGTATTTTGTGTGCGAGTACTGTGTGTGCCGGAGAGAGTATTTTACGCGCGTGTGTGTGTGTGTGAATATTTCAGCGCGAGATTATCTGCATGCTGCTACTACAGTCAAGCCTCGAATTAAATTTCGGAAGGGTTCTTCGAGGGATACGTTTATTATTATTTATAATGTTATCAGGGTTTTTTTTTTGCCTATAAGCACGGTTGGCTACGTACGGTGCGAAAGAAGTCCACCACACGCATTAAAACTAACCTATGTTTTATTTAACCAAATGACGCCCACTGAGCTCGGTATCTCGTTGTCATAAGTGACCCGGCCGCAAATGACAGCGCGATGAAGTGGCATATTAAGTGGATATTTCAAGCAGCCAAATACTCTGCACGCTCGACGTTCATTATACATGCGGAGGACAAAACCGCAGGACCCTGAGCAAAACCCACGTGGCCACAGGAGCGAGAGAGACCGCAGACTCTAGCAAGCGTCAGGGTCAGGATTTGAACCCACGACCTCCTGTACACCAGGCGAGGGAGGTGACATCTCACCACCGGGGCGCTCCACAACTGCTGTGCCCGGCGAAAACCCCAGGGAACAGAGGGCAGGAACAGCCCGAACTAAGACTCTACATCAATCTACTTGCTGTACCCCCAGGCGTGCAAGGCCTGTGTTTATACTATCGCAAAGATACATCACGGTCGTGATCACGAATTCCTACGCGAGTTGCGGCGATGTCAAAGTCCACGCGTCCGTGACAGCTGCATGCCTGACAACCCCTTATCAGCGCCCCTACCTTATTTCAGACCAATTCAGACGTTAGTGGTCACCTCGTGCCCCGTTATAAATCCCAACGTTTATCCTACAAAGTCATCATCACAAGGGAAAAACGCAAACAAATAAGACACTTCCTTTTTTTGCACGTATCGAAACGGTTGTACGCCGTATGGAGCTGAAAACTCAATTTCCCTGTACAAGAATACGGGGGTTTAATCCGTATGGGTCGACAGCTGTGGCTATGCCACAGAGAGCCTTGAGTGACGGCGCTCCATGAACGTGAAATTACGGTTCGAGTGAATGAGTTTCGCTTCGTGTCTGTTTCACGTGAATGGGGGAGGACTCAACAACACGGTCGTCATAAGCACCGTGTGCGTGTCCTTAATAGGAAACATTTGTATGTAATAGGCGACGTTTCGAGCGATGGCCCTTCTTCGGAGCACATAGAGAGGGCCAGAGAGGTCGAAGAGTGGCCTCTATATGTGCTCCGAAAAAGGGATATTTGCTCGAAACGTCGCCTACTATATTTATGCATGTGTAAGGCCAACACTGTTATTGATGCATGTGCTGAGTGGTACAAGAGCCGGAATATTGTAAGAAAAAATCGAATGACCTGACGTCTTTGTGACCACTTAAGTACAAAACCAGGCACATTTTACAATACAACTCGACACGCACAATATTCGCATTTAACTTCTCTAAATCCTCACATCCCCGTCTCTCTCCTCTCTCCCTCCCATCTTTCTCTCTCCCGTCTTATTCAAGAGCCAAATGAGTCACAGGGCTATACCTAATAAATTAACTGAAATGAACTCTCTCCCTCTCATCTCTCTCCCATTTCTCTTTCTCCTATCCCTCTCCCTCCCTCCCTCCCATCTCTCTCTCCCTCCCATCTCTCCCATCTCTCCCCCATCTCTCCCATTTCTCTTTCTCCTATCTCTCTCTCCCCCATCTCTCCCATCTCTCCTTCTTATATCGCTCTCTCCCATCTCTCTTTCTCCTCTCTCTCCCTCCCTCCCATCTCTCTCTCCCTCCCATCTCTCTCTCCTCTCTCCCTCTCTCTCTCCTGACTCTCATGTCTCGTCTACTTAGTGGCACCTGTTGCGGAAAATTCAAAAACCAAGACCGGAGCACATTCGCGGTAGCACCTGGGGTGCCTCCTGACCTTCATGTAACCTGACAAAGACAAAGGTCCCCCGTATAGCCTTTAACAGACTGTTGGGGCAAGTGCTGTTCGCGAGCACCTATGAAGGTCGGCACGGCACACAAGGGGGTGGGTGGCCAGCACCACGCCCGGCCGCCTTTGTCTCCCCAGTGGCGATGTTTAGACACCGCACCAGGTACTTATTTGAGGCTGAGTTGACCTCGGGGAGGCCCACAACCGGCTCAGATAATCGTCACTGGTGTTGGCCGTGAGCGGGAATCGAACTCGGGTGGCTGGGTTCATAGTGCAGCGCGCTAACCGCTACACGACCGCTCCCCCACCGCTCCCAACAAGACAAAAACCCCTAATATAACCGCTTTCAACACACACGCATGCCCCATGGAAATGTAAACATAGCGTAATCGCGCACGTGCAATAATGGTTTGTGTTTTACGCCTTTAAATATACATCTCGTTTACGTACATTACGGAGCATGGCTCTTAGCTCAGGAATGTGACGTAAATCCTCCTCCTCCTCCACCCTGTACCCACCTTGGCGAGGCACGTTATTGTTCGATGACGAACGGTTGCGACACACAGACGCGCTGACAACATACAACTTGACAAATCGTAATTGTTGTATACATCATGTGGTTAATCCACTGCTCGCCTAGTACACAGGATGTCGTGGCTTCAATCCGCATCCTGTCGCATGCTGTGTAGTTGGAGTTTGCGTGCCTCTTCTCCCCGTGATCGCGTGGGTTTTTCTGTGGGTCCTCTGGGTGTTTTTTTCCCCCCTCCACATTCGGAAACATTCGTTCAGAGCACAGTAAAACCTTGGATTGCGAGCATAATCCGTTCCGGAAACGTGTTTGTAATCCAAAGCACTCGTACATCAAAGCACTCGTACATCAGTTGTGATCACGTGACGCTCGGCAGACAAAGCGTATACGTACTACTCGTATTGCGAGACCTCGCTCGTTTATCAAATTAATATTTATTTAAACATTTTGCTCGTCTTGCAAAACACTCGCAGACCAAGTTACTCGCAATCCAAGGTTTACTGTAAGTGGCTGCTCTAAATGTCCACGCGATACGCCACCCCCCTTTGAGCGATCATTTGTGATGGCCAGGTGGCTTCTGAAAAATAACTCTATAGCGTAGTGGACCGTACCTGGTAAGATTAAAGAAAACAGTTTAGTTCGTAAAATAAATGTCTACATTTTTAATCTGATTTGAAGCTTTCGTGACTGCAGGAATCCATACTCTTTGGTTCTTTCGGTGAAGTCACGTGGGTAGAAAATAATAATAAATCACGACGTTTCGATCGCAACACCAGCAATCGTCATCAAGTGGGACAACCACAGCAAGAAAAAAAAATTGCCGAACTCGAAACCTCGTGATCTATTATTTTTTTCCTACCTACGTGACTTTACCGAAAGAACCAAAGAGTATATCTACATTTTTGATTAACATATGCAAATAGATGGCGATCAGTCCCACTTTGCTGAACTGCCTTCACCCTAGCGAGCCAGGGGAGGTTATGGCAGAACGCCTCCTCC